CTAGGGTTTCCTACTTGTATCACCCTGCTGCCTAGTTCCACACATTCTCGTTCAGTTCTACATTCTAACATGGTATCACGAGCCTAGGTTGCTACCTAGGACCGCTTTCTCCTACGGGTGCTGAGCCTGGGGGTGCGGAGCCTGCGGGTGCTGAGTCTGGAGGTGCTGAGCCTGGGGGTGCTGAGCCTGGGAGTGCTACGTCTGAGAGTACTGAGCCTGAGCGTGCTGCACCTGGGGGAGGCCTCTCCTCGCAGCAGCTGCGTGAGTGGTACTTACAGTACTGCAGCCTCATGAGAGGTGCTTCTGGAGCTCGGAGTGGTGCCGGAGCTGGTGCTAGTGCTTCCCCTCCTAGGCGGGAGCTGCCCTCTCCCCAGCAGCTCCGAGAGTGGTACGCTAGGCGCTGCAGTCTCCCGGTGTCGTGGACTCTGGAGCTTCTGGAGTTACTGGAGGTGCTGCTGCTGCTGGCGGTGCGGCTGGCGCTGCTGGAGGTGCTGCTGGTGCTGCTGGAGCTGCTGGAGGTACTGCTGCTGCTGGAGGTGCTGCTGGCGCTGCTGGAGGTACTACTGGTTCTGGTGCTGCTGGAGCTGCTGGAGCTGCTGGAGGTGCTGCTGCTGCTGGCGGTGCGGCTGGCGCTGCTGGAGGTGCTGCTGGTGCTGCTGGCGCTGCTGGAGGTGCTACTGGTGCTGGAGCTACTGGAGCTGCTGGTGGTACTGCTGCTGCTGGCGGTGCTGCTGGCGCTGCTGGAGGTGCTGCTGGTACTGGTGCTGCTGGAGCTGCTGGAGGTGCTGCTGCTGCTGGTGGTGCTGCTGGCACTGCTGGAGGTGCTGCTGGTACTGGAGCTGCTGGGGACCCTGCTGCTGCTGGCGGTGCTGCTGGAGCTGCTGGGACTGGCCCTGCTGAGGGGGTTGGAGCTGGAGGTGCTGAGCGGCCACGGCCGTACTACGTTCCGCTCCTTCAGCAGGTTCTTGGCCTTCCGCCCTCTCCTGGTCCTACTCCTCCCCTACTGAGTCCACCGCTTGTCCAGTCGCAGTCACAGTTACAGCCAGTCTCTCCACTTCCTGGTCCTTCTCCCTACACTGCGCCGACGGGAGGTCTTACGGAGCGTCGTGAGCCTGAGTCTCGTCCTCCGTCGCCTGAGACTCGTCCAGAGTCGTCTGAGTCGCGTCCAGAGTCGCCTGTCCGCGCTGTCCGCGCTGGTCGTCGTGTTCCACGTCAGCGTCCTCCTCCTGTCCTTGGCACTCACTATATGACCCTGCGTCCCTCTACTGCTCCACAGCGTGTCCCACTGCCGTCTCCACCAGCGTCCTCTCTTCCTGCTCTTGCTGACCCAGAGTCTGACTCTCTTCGTGCTGCCAGTCCTACTGTCCCGCGTCTCCTTGCCACTGCTGTCACTGACCCTTCCTTTGAGTCCTCTGCTGCGTCTTCTCTAGTCGCTGAGCTTGTTGACTTTGCTGCTGCCTGTCGTCTAGACTACGCCGCTAGCCTTGTTGCTGAGTCTGAGTCTGAGTCTGTCTGTCCTCCGTCTGTCGGGGGTGAGTGTGCTCTTGGCACGGACGTCTTTGAGGACAGACAGGAGGAGTTTGAGTGCTTTGCCGCTGCTTTGCCTCATCTCGTGTCCATGCTAGTTGCCCCTGAGGGAGACCCGGATGCACCAGACATCCCGACCCCACGATCCTACGCAGAGGCGATGGAGGGTCCCTACTCCTCTCAGTGGCAGACAGCCATGGACGCAGAGATGGCTTCCTGGAAGTCCACAGGCACCTACGTCGACGAGGTTCCCCCACCTGGGGCGAACATCGTCAGTGGCATGTGGATTTTCAGGGTGAAGCGGCCGCCGGGTTCTCCGCCTGTCTTCAAGGCGCGTTACGTTGCACGAGGCTTCAGTCAGCGAGAGGGAGTTGACTTCTTCCAGACCTTCTCCCCGACCCCGAAGATGACCACTCTTCGGGTTCTGCTGCACGTCGCTGCTCAGCGTGACTACGAGCTCCACTCTCTTGACTTCAGCACTGCGTTCTTACAGGGCAGCCTGCACGAGGAGATCTGGCTGCGCCGCCCACCTGCCTTCACTGGGTCGTTCCCTCCTGGTACCCAGTGGAGCCTCCGGCGGCCAGTCTACAGTCTCCGCCAGGCACCCCGTGAGTGGCACGACACACTGAGGACTACTCTTGCTGCTCTTGGGTTTGCTCCTTCTACTGCTGACCCGTCGCTGTTTCTACGCACCGACACCACTCTGCCGCCGTTCTACGTTCTTGTTTACGTAGACGACTTGGTCTTTGCTACTGCTGACACTGAGGCACTCGCCCACGTGAAGTCAGAGCTGCAGAAGAGACACACGTGCACAGACCTGGGTGAGCTGACAAGCTATCTTGGCTTGCGGATCACCCGGGACAGAGCACAGCGCACCATCACCTTGACTCAGTCACACATGGTGCAGCAGGTCCTTCAGCGCTTCCGCTTCACGTACTCCTCGCCTCAGCCCACTCCTCTGCCTACCGGTCACTCGCTCTCAGCTCTGCCTTCGGATGAGTCCGTAGAGCCGAGTGGCCCGTATCCAGAGCTTGTGGGCTGCCTCATGTACCTGATGACCTGCACTCGACCTGACCTGGCATACCCTCTTAGCATCCTAGCACGCTATGTCGCTCCCGGCCGTCACCGGAAGGAGCACATGGATGCCGCTAAGAGGGTGTTGCGCTACTTGTGCAGTACGTCGGGCATGGGGCTCGTGCTTGGAGGTCGGAGCGACGTTGTCCTCACGGGTCACTCAAACGCTTCTTGGGCTGACGACCAGGCTACGCAGCGGTCGTCTCAGGGTTACACCTTCAGCCTTGGCTCTGGTTCAGTTTCTTGGCGTTCTACTCGCTCTTCTTCTGTTCTCAGCTCCAGTTGTGAGGCTGAGATCTACGCCACAGCCATGGCTGCACAGGAGTTACGCTGGCTCACCTACCTCCTGACCGACCTGGGAGAGCGGCCTCGTTCTCCTCCAGTGCTGTACGTTGACAACAAGGCCGCCATTGCCTTGTGTGAGGAGCACAGACTGGAGCACAGGACGAAGCACATCGCTCTGCACTACTTCCTTGCTCGAGAGCTGCAGCAGCGTGGTCAGCTTCGTCTGCGTTACGTGGCCACTCGGGCCAACACTGCTGATGTGTTCACCAAGGCGCTTCAGCCTTGTGACCATCAGCGTTTCTGTACTGTTCTAGGCCTTGTGCCTACTCTCCCTCACTTGCTCACTTCTTGACTCTGCTTGTACTGTGATCTCTATATATATATACCTGCATGTTTACTCTTGTTAGGTTGTGATCACTGTACCTCTTGTTATATTATCAAACTGCATGTGAACTGGTCTTGTGACCACTTGCTTGTGCTCGGAATTTGTGTGGTTTCCTTGAGATCCACCCTGAGCTTGCTTTGCTTTGCTTCGACTGGTCTTGTGACCATCTGGTTGTCTCCCACTTAGCCTATGGGGGTGTGTCAAACATTATACATGTTCATATTGTGTAGGCTATAGTGGGTTTAGCCTTAGGGGGTACAACATTGCTAGGGTTTCCTACTTGTATCACCCTGCTGCCTAGTTTCACACATTCTCGTTCAGTTCTACATTCTAACAGCTTGAACCTGGAGAGGGTTCCACGCCCCCATCCTCTTCCTCCACCACCATGTGTGGAAACCTCGCTATGCTTCCCAGTCGCCGCTCTCTCACCCGCTACTTCCCCCTTTCCTCCTCCACCAGCCATCTCACCCTCCCTCCCCTCTCCTCCCCTGCTCGGCCTTCCTTGTCTGCTTCTGCAGAGCCGCACATTAAATTCAATTCTGCGCGGCCAGGCTGGATGGCGGTGCATGCCTAGTGGGCCAGCGGGTGCCCAGCTAGCACCTAGAGACTAGAACGAGCAGCTCGACTGCCTCGCTGAAGACGCTAGAGTAGCTAGGTGGAGTGGGTAGGCGGGGAGGAAGATGTAAGCGGGTGGGAGGCTTAAGCTCGGTGCTTTTTGCTTGTACGTATCTTTTACTACTGCAGTTTGTTTTCCTAAACCAAGGAGGCAAGCAGTAACTAGATGCAGAAGCAAATCGACTGAGCCCTCGAGGGGGAGGAGGGCGGCTTGTTTCAGTGCAGCCTGAGAAGTAAGGAGGAAAGGACAAGATAATCACGTGTGCTGTTGGAGATGACTAACCGTCTGAAAGGAAACGATCATCACGTACACCAGAAGAAGGAAAGGACCAAGGGAATCCCACGGTTGGAAAGAAGGGGGAGTGAGAGGGAGATGAGCCTGAGAAGCAGGTGGCAGAGAAGAGGGAAGTTTCATGACAACTAACTTTTGTACACTCCTGCGTTCCTCCACAAGCAGGCAGTAAGGCAGGCATCACGGCAGCACTCTTGGCAGCTCCCCCCCCAATGGTAGTGCCTCCGCGTGAGTTTACATTCCAGGCACATCCCCTCCCTCCTCCCTCTCTCCCTCTCCTACCTTGAACAATCTCAAAAGTCCTACTTCACTCCCTCTTCCCTTTTTCTTCATCCTTGCACTCGCATTCCTCCTTTGCCCCCTAAGCCTACAAAGCTGTCCCCCATCTCTCGCACGCACTGCCAGTGCAAGAGCACTGCCAGTGCAAGAGCACTACGCGTGTAAGAGCACTGCACATCTAAGAGCACTGCGCGTGCAAGAGCACTTCCTGTGCAAGAGCACTGCCTGTGCAAGGGGCACAAGCACTGCGTGTGCAAGAGCACTGCGTATGCAAGAGGCAAGAGCACTGCGTATGCAAGAGGCACAAGCACTGCGTGTGCAAGAGCACTGCGTGTGTAAGAGCAATGCATATGCAAGAGCACTACGAGTATAAGAGCACTAAATAGGAGCGCCAACCCCCTAAAGCCCATACCCCACGCGTCACTGCAGGCCCATGACACAGCAGCGAATTAATCTCCGAGAATCAATCCCTTCAAGCTGCAACCACATGGTACAGCGGCGCGTTACATTCCTTCACCTGCCCGCACACTTTGAGTTCAGGCCTCAGCTGCCCGCCTGCCCAGCAGCCCCCACTTCGTAGATTCTCCGGAGCTCCTCGGGGGGATCATAGGAGATGTTGTTGAAGGGCGCATGCATGTCCATGCCGTACACTCGCCTCACAATGTCGTACGTCTCCTGCAGCCGACAACCAGGCATATGGGATGGGAGGAGTATGTTCAAAATGCACATAGGAGAGAGCCTGTGTGTGACCATGCTGTCAGCATGTGCCACAATCTCATACGTCTCCTGCAGATGCCACACAAGCAGGCGGGAACGCAGCGCGTGCACACGAGTGAGCAGGCAGGCATGTGGGATTCCAGTGTACGCAGGAGGGTGCGTACATGTCCGTGCCGTACACTCGCCTCACGATCTCTTATCGGTACAACTCCTGCAGATGCAACACAAGCAGCCTGAGGGGAAGGCATCAGTGCGCGAGAGTGAGCGAGTGGGCATGTTATAGCACCCTGCATTTGCTACTTACCCCTCACCTTGCTGGTGAACATCTGCTGCATCTGCTCGCGGGACTTGGTGGGGTGGATCTTCTTCCCAAAGTCAAAGGCGTGGCCGTGGTCGCTCCCAAAGGGATCTAGCACAGCAACAGGCCTGGCATCCCATACACACTTTTCTCAGAGAACACTTTTGAGTCGACTCAAAAGTCACAGCAACAAGCCTGGCATCCCATACACACTTTTCTCAGAGAACACTGCGGCAGCACTCACCTTATTGGTGAACATCTGCTGCAGCTGATCTCTGGACTTGGTGGGGTGGATCTTCTTCCCGAAGTCAAAGGCGTCGCCGGCGTCCCTCCCAAAGCGGTGCATGAGGGCTTTCACGTCCGCGTCCATGCTCTCAAAGCGCCCCACGTAGTCGTAGCGTATGCGGTCCAGCCCACACAGGATGTTCTGGCGTGGGGAAGGGAGGGGAGGGAGGGAGGGGGTTAAAGTCCATGCCCAGGACGCGTACGTAGCGTATGCGGTCCAGCCCACACAGGATGTTCTGGCGGGTTGGGGGAGGGAGGAGGGAGGGAATTAGAGGGACGGAGGGGGTTGGAGCATGGGGATGCGGGTTGGGGCAAAGTGAAAAAATGTCTTCTTACTGAGGGGCAGGGTGCAAGAAACAATTACCTGAGGAGAAACTTGCAAGCAGCAAAGTACCTGAGGGGCAATGTGGTCTTCCAGGAACCAGCGCCTGTCCTCGTCCCAAGGAGGGTGCAAGGAACAAGAACGTGAGTGTTAGGGTGGTGCGTGAGGGAGGGCCAGGGTGCAAGGAAAGTACCTGGGGGGCGATGTGCTCGTCCAGGAACCAGCGCCTGTCCTCGTCCCAGGCATCCCCCAGCAGTCGCACAAACTCCTCAAACGACAGCAGACGCCCCATCTCCATCTGAAACCTGTGCTTCCACACTCCCCACCAACTGTTCCTCGTCCAGCTACCCCCTTGTGCTGCTTCTGCTGATTGTGCTACTGCACCTTCCTCCTTTGCTGCCCCTCCAGCGAAAATATCTCCCTCGTTCCCCCGATATCTGAGCTGGTCCGTAACCCGCAGCGCCCACAGCTGACCAAAAAAAAATCTCGTCCAGAACTGCCGCCCGAATTGGTCCGCCCCGCCGCCCGCCACGTGTTTGTTGAGATACGCGGATACGATTCTGGTGAATGGCTGCCGGACGAACACGAACCTGGTGTAGTCGGTCCGGGTGATGGCTCGGATGGCGTCAGGTTCGGAGATTGAATGCTAGGGTTGTGTGATATTGCTGGTGTGGGCCAGGTGGGTGTCTAGATACTGGTTGGGGTTGGGGTGGTGGTGCTGCTGCCGAATCCACACCTTCCAGCCCGTACACCCCACCTTCGGTAGCGCACAGTACACCAAGCCCACTGTGTCTGATGGGGGGCCGTGGCATGGCGGGAGGCAAAGGGAAGAAGGAAAAATGGGTGAGGGTGTGGCACTAGGTGACACAAGATCCCAGGGGAGCCAGACCTTCCAGTTCGTACAACCCACTTTCTGGAGCTCACAGTAGGGCACGCCCACTGTGCCTGATGAGGGGCGGCATAGCACGGAGGGAAAAGAGAGACAGGGAAGAATGGAGGAATGGGGGGACAAGGGAGAGAGGGGGGTGGGAGGGAAGGGAGGGTCTTAGGATCGTAAACACCTTAGTCGGCAATAGTCTACTTGCTATTGCTTATCGTGTTCTCCACGATCTCCCAAATCCAACGATATGCGCAGCTCTGCTTGAAGTTGTCAATACACACTTCAGCAATTTCCAGAATCTGATTGGTTTCAATGTTGTGATTTCCCAGAATGAGTACAAGCAGTTTTATAGTCAAGCAAGACACAAAATGCGATTCGTAACTTCACTTGTTTCCCAAGTAACCGCGTGCGCCTCGTTTCACCCCGAGTCGCACACGGAACCGAACCGAATTCACCGAACACTCCTTGAGCCCGAATCTGGAAATTTCTCGAACACGCCTTGGTCTCGAACCACATTTTCCCCCGTCGAACTCATTCTCGATTCTTCTCCACTCTTCTTCCTTCATTTCTCCAGTTTCTTCCCGATTTCTCTCCCGCTTTTCACGCCTTAGCTTCCAACGTCCACCGTAGGCCGATTTCTACCGAAATCACTCTAGAATCTCCCACGAGCTCCATTCCGCCGCCATTCCGCATTTCACCGTAGGTTCCGTGGTTGGGCGAACCAACCCTAACAATCTCCCCTGTGGTTCGTCAACCACGAACACCACTCACACTGCTCCCCTGTTCCTCGTAGCCTTCACAGGGTCTAAGTCGCCTTCACACTCCCCTGCAGCTCCTGCACCTTGAACCTCTCCTTACGTGTCTTGAAGTTGAGCGCCTTGACATCCAATCCATGAAACATTTTCTTGAGCCTCTCGCTTCTCCTCGGCATCTCAACACTCAACACCTCTCGGGTCTCATACCCCTCAACGTGTTCCTCCTTTGTAAGCACTCGCCCCTTTGCAGTTGCATTCGCCTTTGATCCTTTCACCATGATGTCCCCTTTCACAGCGACTCCCACACACTTCGCATTTACTGCTTCATCTTCAACCACGATCGCTGCTGCAAAAGTGTTGACACCATCTACATCTCCACCATTCACTGCTGCTGCCTCCATGGTGACTATCTCCTCTTCCTGCTTCTTTGCTGCCTCCACACTTGCTCCCGTATCATCCGTGTCCTCGCTCTTATCAGCCTCATTCGATAACTCCTCCAATTCTGACCTGAATGTCATGTGACGCGTGCATCCGCTGTCCATGAACCATGCCGTCTTCTCATGATCGTCCGTCTGCCGAACCTCCTTTGGTAAACGCACCACGTTCGCACGATGCGCTCCTCCAAGGATCATATCATCCTCGTTCGCTTCTGCTACATTCGCCTTAGCCGCCACATTCCTCTGCTGCGACGGACCCTTGTAGCTCCTGCTGTTCGGATTGGAGTAGCACTCTGCGGCACGATGCCCATAGCGCCCACAATAATCGCACTTGCCGCCAAAAACTCGTTTATGCTGCCACTCCGCTCCCTCATTTTCTCCTTTATCGTTCTCCATCGCTTTGCCCTTGTAGTTTCTGCTTCGCGGGTTTTCGTAGCAGTTTATCGCCTTATGCCCCCTCTTTCCACACTGGTAGCACGCTCCAAACGCCTTTGTCGCATTCACCATAGCCGACCTCTCCTCGTCTAATTCCGCTGCTGCTGCCGCTTTCTTTTTCCTCATCTCCTTCACCGTCTCAAGCGATTGCAGAATCTCCTGCAGCTTCGTCAAACTCTCCGGCGGTTGGTACGTAAACATACCGATGTCGGATTCCCACTCCTTAGGAAGGCCTTGGATGATATAGTCAATCATCTCCTGCTCCGTCTCCGCGGCTCCCATCACCCGCAAGTCGTCGTTGTAGTTTTTCGCCCTGTTGATGTAGGTGATGATTTTCTCGCCTTTCTCCATGCTCAGCATCAGCAGTTGCTTCCTAATCGCCTTCTTGTTGACATCGTTCGTACCCATGTAGGTGGACTCCAGGTACTCCCATGCTCGCTGTGCAGAGTTCAGCTCCCCTGCAAACTGGTCCAAATCCACCGCGATTCCGTCGGCAACTGAGTGACAAAGCTGAAAGAACGCTTGCTTACTTTGTTTTTTGAACGCCGCTATTTTCTCCTTCGTATCCGTCATGGAAGGCGCAACTCCTTCCATCGTCTCCTCGTCGGGACGGTAGTACGGCAAGAGGTCAACCTCCTCTGCCCTCCGAATAAACTTCTTCCGCCACACGTTGTAGTTGCTTCCATTGAAGCGCTGAGCTTCACTGAGCCCGATCGTCGGTTTCGCCACCAATCGGCCACTCGCAAGGGCCTCGAGAAGAGCCTTCAACTGCGGGTCTCCAAGACTCACACTGGAACCCGAACTCGCCTCGTCTCCCATGGCGTAGGCGTGAACGACTCCTCTTCTCCACTAATTTCACTTAGCGCACCAAGTGAATTCACGACGATCGACGCGCTCGTTCGCCAAGCTCTGATACCAGTTCTTAGGATCGTAAACACCTTAGTCGGCAATAGTCTACTTGCTATTGCTTATCGTGTTCTCCACGATCTCCCAAATCCAACGATATGCGTAGCTCTGCTTGAAGTTGTCAATACACACTTCAGCAATTTCCAGAATCTGATTGGTTTCAATGTTGTGATTTCCCAGAATAATTTTAAGCAGTTTTATAGTCAAGCAAGACACAAAATGCGATTCCTAACTTCACTTGTTTCCCAAGTAACCGCGTGCGCCTCGTTTCACCCCGAGTCGCACACGGAACCGAACCGAATTCACCGAACACTCCTTGAGCCCGAATCTGGAAATTTCTCGAACACGCCTTGGTCTCGAACCACATTTTCCCCCGTCGAACTCATTCTCGATTCTTCTCCACTCTTCTTCCTTCATCTCTCCAGTTTCTTCCCGATTTCTCTCCCGCTTTTCACGCCTTAGCTTCCAACGTCCACCGTAGGCCGATTTCTACCGAAATCACTCTAGAATCTCCCACGAGCTCCATTCCGCCGCCATTCCGCATTTCACCGTAGGTTCCGTGGTTGGGCGAACCAACCCTAACAAGGGAGGGGTAGGAGAGTGAGATCAACAACGAAAAGGCCCCACTGATTGGCCCCACTGATTGGCCCCATTGATTGGCCCCCTTCCAAGACCGATGATCATACATCGAGGGGTGATTGAGATGCTTCCACGCAGCATCCACGATCAGTTGCCTCCCCATACATTGCTTGCTGATGGTGTGAACATGCGAGATCCTTGCTGATGGCGTCAACATACGAAATCCTTTGTGGTTCCTAGACTTCGCATTCATTCCTCCCATAACTCTAACCAAGCCGGAGGGAACAATTGAGAGAGGCAGGGGGGGACAGGGGGAACGGGAGGAACAGGGCGGACAGGGGGGAGGGGAGGGAGAGGAGACAGGGGGAAAAGAGGGGGAAGATTGAGAACAATTAAAAGCAGCCGTGGGCATGTTTGAGAAGCCTCCCACTCATCATCCGCTATCAGCTGCCTCCCACTCATCATCCGCTATCAGCTCCCACCCAGTGATGTTTTTTGAGAATTCTCAAAAAGCGTTTGCAGTGCGCTGCTTGTTGTCGGTGTTTGTATTGATAATTCAGCCGTATTAATGGCGTCCGAATGACTAATTAAGTTGTATTGATGGCGTCCGAATGACTAATTAAGACGTATTGATGGCGTCCGTATTGATAATTCTCATTGTAGCCTCGATTGTTCCCATTCATTCTCACGAGAGTCGTCACGACGGGCACTCACCATCCACGTTCAGTAGCTTCCCAATGCGGTGCTTGTGAATCGGCACGATGAACGGCGCATGGCACAGTCCGCGCTCCACCTGAAACACTCCACCCCTCGCGCTCCCCTCCCCACTCCCCTCCCCCGCATCCCCGCCTCTACCCCCCCCCACAGCCACTGGCACAGGAGTCACTCCGCGCGGAACGCTCTCCGGGGCGACCAGCACGTCGCGCACGAGGAGCGTTCTGCCCCTGGCGGAGGCTTGTGCGCGGATGAGGTCCGCCTGGGGGGAGTGCTGCAGGTGAATGAGCCCCCGGGCGGATGACAGAGTGAATAGCTCCGCTGCTTCCAGCTGCGCGCACTCTATCCATGCGCCCACTCCCCGTGCCCCCTGCTCCGTGAAGCCCTCACTCCCTTCACTCCTGCCACTCCCGCTGCTACCAAACTTAGCTCCCCCGTCGCCTCGTTCCCCTCCCGTTCCGCCTCCGTCCCTTCCTCTCCCCACCCACCAGCCAAACCAGCCAGAACTCACCCTCAGCGCCTCCCGCGCTTCAATCTCCTGCGGAGTGGGTTCCGCGGGGGGGATGGGCGGGGGGAGCGCCTCCCCCCACGCGGGGTTGGGGCGGCAGAGGGCGGAGCGGCGCAGGGTGGCGCGGAGGAGGTGCGGCTGGCGGGAGGGGTGGAAGGTGCGCGCCACGGCCAGCGCTTGCGCCGCCCAGAAACCCGCCACTGTAGCGTCGCCTTCGGGCTGCCCGAGAAAAAACCACATGAGGCGGCGGGTGGTGCAGTTGACTGTGTGGTGAGGAGGGTCGCAGCTAGCGCAGAGGGGGTTTAGAGGGTAGAGCGCTACAGGTTCGATGTAGACAGCTGTGCGCTGCTGGACACGTGTCAGGTTCTCGTTGGCTATGAGCTCCTGCACGGCCGTGGACGGCTGAAGCAGGCTGTAGCAGCGTTGGATGGAGGTGTGGAGCTGGGAGGAGCCGTCCACGTCAGCAAGGTTGCTGATAGAGGCAGCTATGTGGGGGAGGGAGGAGGAGAGGAAGAATTCGACTTGCAGGCTGCGAGAGGGATGGGCGGAGGGAAGGGGTTGGGAGGAGGAGGGGTTGAACGTGCCAGCCTGTTTTTCCTGTTGCTGCTGCAGCTGATCTTGAGATATCGGCTGGGGAATTTCCGAATTGAGGGTCTGTTGGGATGCACCGTCGCGCAAAGGCGAACACGGGGGAAAAAACGGGATCAGGGATTTGGGAAAGATGGAGCGTTTAGTGAGCGGTAAGCTATAGCGATCAAGCACGCTCGCGGGAACAAAGGGGCGTACAAGAAATCATGCAAACGAAGAATGATCGTGTGCTTCACATTTGCAAATTAGCCTACCCCATAGGTGTAGAGCGGCGAGTTGAGCCAACTCGGCCGGCGATGCAGCACGACGACCGGCTCATCAGAAGCATGATCATATGCCGGGAACGACGGCGACTCCTGCGCCTGAAACTCGCCCTGCTGCCAGTGGCCTCCGCTTTGCGCGGCTTTGAGCGCGCTCGGGGGAGGCAGAGGGCCCAGCACGTGGCTGAGCGTGGCGTGTGGCATGGCTCGATCCGGCAGCCATAGCACGGCCAGCCGCAACGGCCGCTGATGCTGCGGTGGCCGCGGTTGCCGCTGCTGGGAAGACGCAGCGCTGGTATAGTCCCAGAGAGTATCTGGGACTCCGGCCGGAGCCAGCTTGGACGACAGGAGGTGGTGCAGCGCGTACCCCGCACACACTGCCTCCAGCCGCTTGTGAAGCGGTCCCTGGAATGATGTGTGGGATTGCAACGGAGGATGAGAAACGGACTGCGGATGACAGAGGATGGAGGGAGTTGAAGGCAAGAAACGGACCCTGTATGTGTGTCAGTGGCACACTGCCTTTAGCCGCTTGTGAAGCGGTCCCTGGATTTGCAGGGAAGAGACGGAAATACCGAATCGTCATGGAAATTACCTCGGAGATTGGATGGTTTTTTGGGATTGGAGCGAGAAAAACGCTTGTAATTGAAAAGACGTAATTACCAAGGTTGGTAGGATTTGAGGAATGGAGAGAGGGAAAATAACTGCAGACCTGAGAAAAAAAGACGCGGAATTCGGGGTTGTGATGTGAAACGTCTCATCAGATAATACCGTCTGGATACCATTGTGATCCGTCGTCTCAATACATTTGAATCCTCACTAATAGTTAGTCACTATAAGACATGCCTTGGCCCATATGACGACGTCCGGGTGGGAGAAGTTGCGGCTCAAGCTAGTAGCTTCCTCATTCCGACTGGGAGACGCGCGAGTCGCCGCGTCTTCTGCTGCCAGTTCCGCAAAAGCCGGCCAAGGATTAGAGAAGATGAGGAATTGCTGGCCGTCGCCAGCGACTTTCATGGATGCTTCGCGCGTTAGGGTGACCACTACAAAACTGACGACAGTGAGCACTGCTAGGAATTTCGACACCCGTCGCCACGTCGCATTCTTGGAACACAAAGCTGAAAATGCACTATTTTCGTTACACAATCGCCGGTCAATACGGGCTCTGAAGGCCCAGGCTAGATCCATTCTCATAATCGCTCGAAAAAACTCGTAGAAACCTCTTCCCTTGGCCATGGGAATCTTATTTGTTGTAATATCATCAGCCTGATGATACAACTTGTTCAATTTTCTTGGCCAACTCCTAACCACCGCCAACGCAACCTTCCTCTGAGGTGCCACTGAACATAATCCCCACCGTTCCGAATTGCAGATCAAGCAACAAGAAGAGCCGCCCAGCTAGATGTCCTTGAGGTGAGGTCAGAGCATGCAGCTTGACAGTCGGTGGGGTTGTGTTGTGTTGTGTGCCCATGAAAGCAGCAATTAAAACGAAAAGGATCATCGCAGGGATTTTTGGGCGGCTAACAGAATTAACTCTCTGCTCAGTTGAAGCGGTTGAATACGATGTTGTGCACTCTGAAGCGGTTTCTTCGTTTCACCTTTCTGAACCGTTCACGACCAGCCTGAACTCTCATGCATGCATTAGCGTGGGAAGTGGATGAGGCGGGAGAAGGGCGGGCTTTCATGGCTTGGGCTCGAGAGTCGCGTCGCGACTCGCATTCAAGGAAAACCTTGACATTTCGGAAATTGTACAGTATACCCTTGTCATGTACACGGATCAGCCTGCGACTCAACAGTGTTCAAATGCAAGGCTGTGGTCTTCAAATTATATATTTAAGTAGAATACAAATAGTATCACAAGAAGCAAAATATACCATCCATAAGCGGTAGGCTCACAAATCATTATTATAAACCGAAGGCCTTTTGCAAGGGTGGAAAAAAAGGTATCAGACATTGGCAGCCACCACTGCAAGCGATGCTTTCAATTGATCGTTAGAAAGAGGCTTGGTCATAAATCCATTCATCCCAATCTCCCGGCACCTCTCCGGTGCTCCCGCCACAAGGTCGGCCGTGATTGCAAATATTGGAACCCGATGCCGACCCATCTGCTCCTCCAGCCGTCGGATCTCGATGGTTGCATCGTAGCCATCCATCACAGGCATCTGCAGGGTAACAGGAAAACATTGATAAAATGTCAGTCGTGTGCCACCAAAGGAGTATGGTTATGGAGCAGAAACGAAATACGGGAGCAAGCAGTGCTCAACTGTGGAAGGTGGAAAGCAGAAGGTGGGAAGTGAGAGTGGGAAGTTTGAAGTGCTAAGTGGAAGTGGGTGGGTGGGTGTAGATGTGAGGAAAACCAGGAAAACACACCTGAAGGTCCATGAAAACGCACACAAACCCCTCCCCTCCACCTCCCTCACCCGCTTCAACACTCCCACCACCACCCACCACACCTCCATCTCCACTCCCTTTCATCCCCTCTATAAACCGCTCCACTGCAACGCAGCCGTTCTCTGCCTGCACGCCCACCATGCCATACGGCCGCAGCTTCGCCAGCACCACCTTGCGGTTCACTGCATTATCATCCACCACTAGCACTCGTCGCCCTCTCAGCCTTGCTGCGAGGGACCTTGGGGAGAGTGGAGGGTCAGGTGGGACAGGTGCTTCGCTCGGCTCGTCCAGCTGCCCTGCTTGGCTCGGGTCCGCCAGCACCACCTTGCGGTTCACCGCGTTATCATCCACCACTAACACCCGCCGCCCTCTCAATCGCTCCGTGAGGGACCTTGGGGAGAGAGGAGGGTCAGGTGCGGGTGCTTCGCTCGACTCCGCCAGCACAACCTTGCGGTTCACTGCATTGTCGTCCACCACCAGCACCCGCCGCCCTCTCAGTCTTGCTGTGAGGGACCTTGGGGAGAGCGGCGGTGCAGGGGACTGGCTCGACTCGTCCACCCGCCCTGCTTGATTTGCCTCCTCGGAGGAAATTTGGGGTGTTTCAGAGGAGGTTTCTATGTGCATTTCGGGGGAGATTTGGCCGCCTTGGTGGTTCCCTGTTTCGGACCCTGGTTTTCTTAGGTCCAGGAGCCCTGGTCTCACATCTGTCTCCTGCCTTCTTGTCCTCTCCCCCCCTTCGCTGCTACCTCTGTCGTCCGCGCTTCTCCCTGCTTGCCCACCCATTCTTTGACCCTCCTTCTCCCTCCTCTCCTCCTCCCTCTCATCACACTCTTCTGCTTTATCATAAATGTCATCATCAACAGCTGTTGCAGAAGCAGCAGCTGTAGCGGCAGCGGTAGCAGCAGCAGCTAGCTCCTCCTGTACCAGGTCAGTCAAGGACAGCGCTGCTGGCAGTGCTACAGCCCTTGATGCTACAGCCCCTGATGCTACAACCCCAGCTGCTACAAACTCGGCCACTGTGGCCTCTCCTGCTGCGTCTCCAGCTGAAGCATCTGTAGCAGGAACAGCAGATGCTGCTAGTTCCCTTGACCCCACCATGGGAAGAGAGACGCGAGCAGAGGACGAGGCGGCCGGGGAGGCGACAGGGGAGGAGGCGAAGGAAGCAGGGAGGGCAGCAGAGTGCTTGGATTCAGGTGAGCGAGCAGCGAGAAGGTCCCTTTCAGATGGTGCAGGTGCAGCCTCTGCAGCTGTGAGAGTGGAAGGTGGGACAAACGCAGAAGAGAAGGCGGAGGAGGAGGGCGAAGAGGGCGGGGAAGTGGAAGTAGCAATGGCAGCAGCAGCAGTGGAAGCAGCAGTGGAAGCAGCAGGGATGCAGCTACTAGATGGGGATGGGGACGCGTGTGACCGCGCCTGGCTCCTGCCGCTGCTCGTGCTGGCTGTGCTGCCCGGACTGCTCACGTACCCATCCATACCCCTCGTGTACCCATCCGTACCCCTCGTGTACCCCTCTGTACCCACCTCCACCATGTCTGGGAACCGTGCCCTGCTTCCCAATCTCCGCTCCCTCACCCTTCCTCCCCCCTCCTCCCCTAATCGCTCCTCTTCATCTGCTTCTGCAAACGTAACTCCTCTCCTCCCACCTGGTTTCCCTGACCAATCAGCTTCCAGAGTCTTAGCTCGTCTAATCTCCACCTCCTCACCCCGTTCTGCATCCTCTCCCTTTTCCTCTTCCCCATCCTCTCTCTCCTCTCGCCCACCCTTCACATTGTTACCTCCTCCTTCATTCCCCTCCCCTCTTAACGCAATTCCACTCCCCTCTCCTCTCCCACCATCCGCCCCCCACCTGCCACCAATCAGCAAGTCCATTTCAGAAGACCAGGAGGAAGGGGTAGCAGCCAGCCCACTCCCAGACACCACCTCTCCTCCAACCCATAAGTCTTCCCCAACTGCACCCTCCCCAGCTACACCTTCCCCAATTGTACCTTCCCTCACACACACCTCCCTGCTGCCACCAGCAGCATCAGGCGTGCCCAGGTGAGAAACAGAAGGGTAACCCTCCCTCTCAGTTCTCCTCCTCTCCTTCCAACTCTGTGTCCCTTTACTGATGGCCCTGCTACCGCTACTATTGCCTGTAGCAGCCCTCGTTATACTCACAGCCCCGCTACCACTGCTCTCATCTGTAGCAGCCGTAGTCATACCAATACCGCTGCTGTCACCTATAGGAACCCTCGCTTTAATCACAGTCCTGCTACCACCATTGTCACATGTAGCGCCCCTTGACATACTGATACCGCTATCACCCGTTTTACTCACAATCCTGGTACCACTACTGCCATCTGTAGCAGCTTTCGATATACTCACACTGCTATCGCCTGCGGCAACACTTGCGTTACCAGCGGCCCTGTCCCCCCTACTATCACCCATAACAACCTTTGCTTTACTGACAATGCTGCAAGCTAGGCTGCTGGTGCTGTGACTGCTGCCAACCCGGTACTTTCCCATTCGGCCCAACTTACCACCCCCAGAACGCTGGCTGCTGCTGCTGCTGCTGCTTCCAGCAATGTCCCTGCTTCTAGCCCCACCCCTGACACCTGCCCCATTCCTTCCTCCAACCCCACCCCTGCCACCAGCGGAGCTACCACTGGTGTACCCACCGTCACCACTGATATACCCACCGTCACCGCTGACATACCCACCAGCACCACTGGCATAACCGCTATCACCACTCACATACCCCACATCCTCTCTTGACTCAGCAGCAGCAACACCAGCAGCACCAGAAGAAGCAGCAGCGACTGGTTTAGGGCCAGCACTCCTGTCAGGAGAAACAAGCTTCAAACTGCGGGCACTAGAACACACACCAGGCCCCTCGCCGTCACTCACACACCCCACAGCTGGGGGTTGCTGGTTACTAGGCCGGTTACCAGCACCACTGTGCCACGCCAGATTATGAGGAGACTGGTTACCAGACTGGTTACCAGATTGATTACCCTCGTGATCACTATCAGCCACATGTTGCCCTGCTGGTTCTTCTGCCTGTGCTGCTGCTGCTGCTTCTGTGGCTGTTGCAGAGGCAGCACTAGCAGCATCCGCTCTGGTAGCAGCAGCAGCAGGAGCATCATCAGCATTACGGCTAGCACCAGCATCACCGCTAGCAGCATCACCACTAGCACCGGAGTTGGCAGCACTCGCAGCAGAATCACCAGCACCACTGGTCTTATCAGAGGTAACACCAGCACCACAGGCATTATCCGAGGCAGGAGAACCAGCCATAACCGCTGGTGCTGCAGCAGCAGTGGCTCTTTTGCCCGACTCCCCCCACCGAGCAGGAGTCAAGGATCGGAACACCGCCCGAACCTGGTGCTCCACACTCTGCCGAACCGGAGACGGAAGCCTGGGTAATACCGATGCTCCTGATGCTCCCGCTGCCCCTCCCGCTCCACCTGAAGCTGCATCCGATTCTTTAAATGCTTCACTCTCTTCTGATAAGGCTGCCACGGCCGGTGCTGCAGGTGCTGCTGCCGAAGCTGCCACCTCCGCACCTCCCAGGCCGATTCCGAACCTAGCTTCTGGGGTTCTCGCCTCTCCTCTTGCCCCGTGCCTCCGGTCTAGCATCGGACTGACCAAAGGCTTGATGAACGGCCGTGAGAGGCTTGGAATAGCGCCCACCGAACCTGAGAACTGGCTCGGAATGACCTGCTCCCTCAATCCCTTGTGCTTCGCTTGCCCCTTATGCTTCTCTTGCTCATGTTGCCTCACCCCGTCCAGCTGCCTCTGTCCCTCCTGAGCCGGCCATGCCTCTTCAGAGCTCTCAGACGTGCTCCTAGCAGCACCAACCAGCAACTTCCCAGTGCATTCTCTCCCCGCCGCCAGAACTACCGTCTCCCCACCTCCCACTGCAATAGAAGGAAGATCACACAACCTCGCCCCTGTTGATGCTGCTGATACTGCTCTTGCTGTTGCTGCCCCTGCTGCCCCTGCTGCTCCTGCTGCTGCAGCAGAGGGATTAGCCGCAGGAGGGATGGAAACGAGGCGTGGAGAGGAGAGAGCAAGGGAGGAGGAGGAGGAGGAAGTGGAGAGCGAACCGGGAGTGAGAGAGGAGGGGAGAGGGGAGGCAGGGATCGGGAGGGGGAGGAGGGAGTAGGTGGAGGGAGTGAGAGGAGTGGTGGGAAGGTGGGTGGGAGTAAAGGAGGGAACTGGGAGGGGGCGGTTGTGCGATAGGAGAGGAGGCGAAGGGGTGGGGGAGGTTGTAAGAGCTGGGAAGCTTTGAGGAAAGGGTGGGACGAGGACTGAGGGGTTCTGTGAGGGGCGGGAGGGAGCAAACGAGGAAGAGGAGAGGGAAAGGGAGGAGGGGGAGGAGGAGGAGGTGGCGGGGGAGGAAGAGGGTCCAAGAAGGCTTGATTCATTATGATGGCTGTCCACATTCATTGCACCTGGACCGCTTGCCTGGTGGCTGTCCACGTTCACTGCACCTGATCCATTCAGGGCGTCAGCCACAGCAAGGGGCGGCACAGGGTCAAGAGCAGCAGAGGCAGCAGGGCACTCCCCACCAACAGCAGCGCCAGAAGAACGATCAGCAGCCATTGCTCCATCATCTACCCCTGCTGCCACCACCACTGCTGCTGCTACTGCTGCCACTTTTGGTGCTGCTGCCACTTCTGGTGCTGCTGCTGCTGCTGCCGCTGCTGGTGCCGCTGCTGCCGCTGCAGCCGCCACCGCTGCTGCCACTGCTGCTTCGGCAGCCTTGTCCGCTCTCGCCCCTGCAGGTCTCTGGTAGCTCTTTCTTCTAGACCATACCCTAGACACTCTCCTCTGCTTCCCACTCAACACCTCCCTCTCCCCTTCCTTCACCACTTCTCCTCCCTTCACCTTCTCCCTTTCCTTCTCCCCTTCCTTCTCCTTTTCCTTCTCCCTCTCCCTCTCCTTGCCTCCTTCAACTAGCCTCCCTTTCTCTCTCTCCACTGCTCTCCGCCCGAGATCCTCTCGTCTGCCCGAAAACGTCCGGCTGATCCTGCCCGAAACCCTCACAGCAGCGGGGAACAGGAGGAAACTTTTGCCGCCGCTGCCCGAGCGAGAAACAGGAACACCACCCTTGCTGGCGTCACCACCAGGACTGCTGACGTGGGCCTGGGTCACACCAGCACGATTGCCACTCAATGTGGTACTGTTTCTCCTCCCACTGTTACCGTTACCATTACTGTTACGAAAACTACTACTGTTACCAGTCGTGCCGCTGTTACCACTCAGGTGGGTACTGCTGCCAGCAGTGGAGAGCGCGGTAGATATACCTACCTCAGAATAGACAAACTTTGCCAGCCAGTCCGTGAGCGTCCAGCAGGAGAGCAGCGCAGTGTCGATGGCATCCCTTTGGTCCTGATCCAGCTCGCACTCTTCCACTAATAGCTGCAGCATGCCTGTTGGGGGTCAAGAACGGGGGAGGGCGAAAGAAGGGTGCGGCAGAGGGTGAGACCCTGACCGTCCCTTCTCTCTACTTTCACACACGCAAGCACACTCACCTATAATCCCGTTGATCGGAGTGCGAATCTCGTGTGAGATACATCTGAGAAACTCCTTATTCGGTCTGACTGCCCCCTCCTGCGTCGCCCTGGCAGCAGCCAGCTCCGTGAGATGCTTCGCCGCCTGAGCCTCCATTCGTTCCGCCACCTCCCACACAGCCCACCTACTCGTTCACACGCCACACACTCACCTATAATGCCGGAGTGCGGATTTCATGCGAGATGCACCCAAGAAACTCCTTCTTGGCCCTCACTGCCCCCTCTCTCCACTCCCATTCACCTCTACACTCGCTGTGCACTCACCTATAATTCCGTTGATAGGCGTGCGAATCTCGTGAGATATACATCCGAGAAACTCCTTCTTGGCTCTCACTGCCCCCTCCTGCGTCGCCCTAGCAGCAGCGAGCTCCGTGAGATGCCTGGCCGCCTGAGCCTCCATTCGCTCTGCCACCTCCCACATGGCCCACCTACCCCCTCACAGGCCGAGCACTCACCTATAATCCCGTTGATCGGAGTCCGAATCTCGTGAGATATACATCCGAGAAACTCCTTCTTCGCCCGCACTGCCCCCTCCTGAGTCGCCCTGGCAGCAGCCAGCTCCGTGAGATACCTGGCCGCCTGAGCCTCCATTCGCTCTGCCACCTCCCACATGGCCCACAGGCAGCACGTCACCAGGGCGATTGCAAACAGCAAGCCCCCGCATATCACCGACACCTGCAAGCCAAACACCACACGTTCCCACAGAGCAGCGGAAAAGGAGAAAGTTCAGCAAGTGGGAAAAACAGTGAAAGCGCGATAGCAAGTTACTGAGGGTGACCACGAGTAGAGCAAACAGCAAGCTGGTTTTTGAGAATTCTCAAGCTGGTTTTTGAGAATTCTCAAAAACCAGCAAACAGCAAGCCTCCCAGAAGATCACGGATACCTGCAAGCCGAACCCAAACTGCACTCGCTGCTGCTGCCGCTGCTGCTGCCGCTGCTGCTGTTGCTGCCACTGCCGCTGCCACTGCTGCTGCCACTCCCGCTGCCACTGCTGCTGCTGGTACTGGTGATGGTGATGAGAATACAGCGGCTGCAGCAGCGTCTGACTCTCCTGCGCCCAGGACTCCACTGCTCCCTCTCCCCCCACTCCATCCGCCATTCCCCCTGCCCCTGCCCCTGCCCATGCTCCTGCTTCTGCTCCTGCCCCTGCACCCACTCCCACCCCAGCCGCTGCACCAAGTGTCATGGCGAGCACGCCAATCAGAAGCACGGTAGCTATGAGGGCAAGACCGGCCAGCAGGCACCACATGCAGATCACCAGCTGCCGCCAGTGGGAGAGAGGCGGAGGAGTGGAGGGCGGGTAGGCGTGTTTGTGGCCGCTACTGCTGATGCTGCTGGTGATGGCGCTGCTGCTGCTGTCTTTATGCTTTGCCTTGTGCTTCCTGCTGTGCTGCTGGCTGCTGTGCTGCTGCCTGTGGTGCCGGCTGAGCCGTTGAGTGTGCACTGGGCTGCTGATTGCACCATGATCCGTTTCTTCATTCCCTGTCCCTCTCTCCCTCTCCTTCTCCTCAACGTTTTTTTGCGCCCCCACTCTGCCTTCCCTTCCCCCTCCTCCTCCACCTCCCTCACTCCTCTGCCCCTCATAGACCAGTGACACCCCCCCTGCTGCATCCTCCCACTCCCCATTCCACTCCGCAACCTCCTTCCTTAACTGGTCTGCCCTGCTGCTTGTCCTCTTTACAGGCGCACCCAGCTCGCTATAATCACCTGAGACTGTACACGGAAATGGTTGAGCAGGTTCGGCAAGTTTGACTGCAGGGGCCGAAGCTCCCTGGTGGGCAGGTTTGGAGACAGGTCCGGGGAAATACTTCGGAGGTTCGTTCGGTACAGCAGCAGCGGCGGTGGCGGCAGCAGCATCGGCAGCGGGGGTGCCTAATGCAATGGGTAAGGCAGAAGAATGTGCCACGTCAGCAGGGGAAGGGGCTCCATCAACAAATTCTGCTGCCAGTGCGCCGCCCAAAGTTGCCAGGTGGCCAATACTGCCGACAAACACCGACTCGTCGAGCGCTGACCTGTCGCTCGGCGTCAGCGATCCCATGCGTGACTCATCACGTGCCAGGCCCAGCCTGGCATGACTCAGCATGGTTGCTCCTTGCGCTCCTCCTCCCTCCTCCTCCTCGTCCCTGCCCATTTCTCGGCCCATCCACCGCTCTCCACCGCTTTGCACCGAGCCGCTCAGCTGCCGCTGCACGTGCAGCTGGTATTGCTGGTGCTGCCTAGGGTCCAGCAGATAGCTCCTCAGCCCTGTGCCTCCTCCCCCTCCTCCTCCTCCCGCTCCTCCTCCCCTCCCACCTCCTCCACCCCCTCCTCCCGCCCCTCCTCCTGCTCCCCCTGCCGCCCACACCATGCTGCACCTACGTCTGGGCCGCACACTGAACCCCTCACATGGCCGCCCGGAAATAGACGGCCGCCCGGAAATAGACGGCCGCCCGGAAATAGATGGTCTTCCTGTCACGTTGCTGCGACCGGTGATCACACGCCCAGTGGTGGTGGTAACCGGGTTACCACTGCGGCCAAACACAGGGTTTCCAGCATGGGCTGTAACAGGGTTACCAGCTCGAGCAGCAATGCTGGGTGGACTTGTGACAGGGGCCTGGTTACCACCTGAACTACCACCTGAATTTTCACCTGCAATTTCACCTGAGTTACCACCTGTGTTACCAGCAAGAGGTGTAACAACAGGAGTTCCTCTCCCGGTGCTCTCCCGGCTAAGAGGACTCGCTCTGATGGTGCTGCTCCTGTTACCAATGCTAGTAACGGGTTGCCCCAAGCCCCTGCTAGTACCGGGTCGACCCAAGCTGTTGCTAGATCGGCCCGTTACACTCACCCTCCCTGTAACACCCACCCTCCTCCCCGGAAGGCTCATTCGCATGCCCATTCGCCCTGGACCAGCGCCTTTGGTTACCGCATTCAACCGCGCGGTTACCCCATCTGTAACACCTGCCCAAGGAGTCTGGATGCTAGTCAAGTCACTGGGCAAATGCTTGCTGCTGCTGTTGTCGGTGGTGGTGGGTGTTGTGGGGTTGAAAGGTTTGGGGATGGATAGTGATGCCTTCTTGTAGGTGCTCGGATCGTAGGGGTTGCTGCTGTCGCTTATTGCGAGCTCATCTTGAACCAGGTCTATAAGGGGTACAGGGTGTAGCCGGTCGTCCTCGCCTGTTGCTGCTGTTGCTGCTTCTGATGGGAGCAGCAGCGGGGGCATCCGAGTATTATCCCATTGGCCGGACAAAATTTGGTCGGCAAGGAACGTGACAGCTCGAGATGCCAGGCCGGTAGCTATGGCCTCTGAGAGCGCGTCGAGATACGCCTCGGAGCGAGAGACAAAGGCGTGGTGGTGGTGGCTTCTGTGCCCCGCGATCGCGATCGCCCCCACGTCGCTGAAGCTCGAGTATTTCTCCACGCTGGTTAAGAGAGAGCTGCTGCTGCTACTGCTGAAGGTACAACTGCCACCATCACCATGGGCAAGAACGGATCTGGTGCTGCCATCCCCACACGCAGTGGCCTCACCAGCACCACTATCAGCACCACCAGCAGCAGCACCAGCAGCGCCAGCATCAGCATCAGAAGCACCAACAGCAGCAGCAGGGCCCCTCAGGCCACTCGGCGCGCTTGCAAGGTCTTGAGCTGCGCCGTACACACGGAAGGTGGTTACCACTCCATGTCTACACCCAATGCCACCGCCACCGCCGCTCCCACCGCTGCTTCCCTCCTTGGGAATATCCTGAAGGCTTTCATTGCCTCTGTGATTCCCATGCCCGAACATACCGGTTTCCACTCTAGCCATAGCTTCCCCCGCTAACCTCCACTCCTCATCCCTTTCCTCCACCCTTCCCTTCGCCTTCCCCTCCCTCGCTCTCCTCCCTCTCCCCCTCCGCCTCCTGCTGCTGCTACTATTCGCTTCCTTCCTGCTGCTGCTGTCGCTGGTTAGTTCCAACTCTTTGCTGCCCGTTTTCCCGCTTCCCGCTGCCACGTCATCACACCAAGTCCTCCCTGACGAAGCCACTTGGCAGCTTCCTCCGACAGTGGCGCGCCTTACAAGAGCTCTCCCTTGCGCTGCGCCGTCCGCTCCCCCCCCTTTCCCCGCGGATCCCGCATCTCTTGCCTTGGGAACGCGCGCGCGCATCCACCTACCCACGCTCTTGATCTCTTCCGCTTCCGCGCCTACGGATTTCCCCTCGCCTACTACTTTCCCGTCGCCTTTCCCGCTAACCGTGCGCATGACCCCTCGTTCCTTGCAGCTCCCCCCCTTGCTCTCCCCCGCGTCCTTCCCCGTCCCCCAACCAACCGTCCGCCTTCCCCACCCGGGGCTGGGCGGCCGGCGGACATCGCGCCCCGACTCGCGCTCCGCGTGCGCCTTCGTCGTCCCCCTATCGCCGCGCGCCTCCCCGCGTAAAATTCCGCTACCTAATCTCATGACGTCTCCTACCGCGGACGTCGTTAAGCTTCGCTGCCTCGGCCCTCGCGGCGTCGCGGCTGGTGATTCCGAGTCAGCAGCGCCCGGGAAAACCGCCAGATTATCCGGGCTACTACTCCCAGTCGACTTTGTCCGCCCCAATGAATTCGAGGTCGCCGCCGCCGCCGTTTCTCGAAGCGCGCGCTGCTCCTTCCTTTGGCGCCGCCTCTCCCGCACTTTCCGCAAATCCACGCTTTCCCCCACGCTCTCGAGCCTCCAAGTGAACTGGGCGCCGCCCTCTAATCCCCGCCAATGGGACAGTGAGGGCGGCTCGTTGGGCGAATCAGCAGCCGCGCGCGACCTCGCGATGGGATTATCGGAGACATCGAGGCGAGAGGGCGTGCATGACGCAAGGCTCGATTCAAAGCTATCTACGCCGTGAAATCCGCCGCTCATGGTGCTGCAATCAACGGCTGTCTGTCGATCACGTGAGTTGCTATAGTCTTGGTTCTGCTGCTGCTGTTGCTGCTGCTGCTGCTGTTGCTGCTGCTTCTGCTGTAGCTGCTGCTTCTGCTTCTGCTGTTGCCGTGGGCCGTCCGTGAAAACAGTCGCATTGGTAGCGAACGACACATGAGGTCTCTCCCGTCCCTCACGTGCTTCCCCCTCCCGCCCCTCGGCGGTAGAAGAGTCGCGATTGAGCGCCTCGCGGGGAGACAGGCGCGGAGCCACCAACCTCCACAGCCACCTCGCAGGCATGGCGCCTCGGGAATGGCGCCTCGGGAACAGCCCTAGGTCACGTGAGGCAGAGAGAACGCGACAAACAGGCAGGCAGAAAATCCAAAAGGAGAGAGTGGCGGCAGTCAGGCGGGCATGCCTCTAGTCCTTGCCATTGCCATGCTGCTGCTGCTCCTCGTGCCTGCCTGCTGCTTCTAGCAACTTCCCGCTCTTCGACTCCCTGCCCGCCCTGCTGCTTCTTGCACCTTCCCTCCCCTCGACTCCCGCCTGCCTGCTGCTTCTCGCCTCTCCTCAGTTTGCCGCCCATTTGCTACAGCTGGCGAGGGACGTGTCCGACGAGAGAACTTAGGACCGTTGGGAAAGCGTGTGCGGCACGGAACAAGAACGCGAACAGGAAGGCGTGTCGGGGAAGCAACTTTCCGATTAAATTGCTGGGCTGATGACGCAAATACGCCACCTTGAATTGGTGGCTTTTATTGCGTCAACGAATGGACGGGCGGGAGAGGAGGAACATCTGACGCGTCAACCATGCGGGCAGATGAGGCGAATGCTACCGAGGTGACGCTTCGACGGACTAGCGGAAAGGCCGGGCAGGTGGGTGGAAATTGTGGCCCTTGATAGGGCGAAGAGCTAGCTGCGTTCGCTGAGATTCGAGGACACAAACCGGCTGACGTGGAATCTACGTTTGTCGCGCTGACCTTCTCATGAAGCTGCAACGCGAGCGAGCATGCCGCCGACTAAAGCACAGTGAGATCGCACGACGTAGATTTGGGCGCTCGGAGGTACAAAGGCGGAGGGCACGAGCTACGCTCCCGAATTCGATTGCTCTGGTACTCGCTTTAGTGTCCCAGACCTGGTACCGTACGGAAAAATATACATGCCTGCGAATCGCCATCACTACAATCTCCGTTGGAAATGCGCGCCATTGGGGCTCTTCTTCGGTAACCTCGCCATGCAGACCTGTTCATGCCATAACCCTCCCTTGGTTCTGTCTATCAATAACCACTTATCAAGCAGCGATGTTTGTTGGCTAGTCAGCAAGCAGGGGAGCAAGAGGAAAATCTCGAGGCTGAAAGGAAGCCTCAAAGATGACTGGAGGTGACACGGACAGAGGAGCTTTCCACTTCAGCAGCTGTGCCCTCCTCTCTCTGTAGCTTCATGCCACTGCTAAGCATTTCGCGGACCACATGACGACGCCAATTACATTCGCCAAGGTTATCGTTTCGGTCGCAGACCACTCAAGGATGAGTAGTTGCTTTCGTAAAAGAACAGATGTCGCTGCTGACCACAAGAATGTTACCGGGGAGGAGGCAGACACGATGCCTGAGCGACCAGATGACACGATAACGCATGGCGCGACGAAACATTTTTGGCATTGACAGCTGCCCAGTCATAAGCGCCGCCTCACACAGTACATGTATGTACGAACGGCTGTCGTCGCGTTGCGAACATACGCCCTGGCAGAATGCAGCGCGAATGTACTTTGGAACCCCCTCTGCAATTGAATCATGGTTCGATATTGACATAGGTTTAGGCAACACAGAAGGATGGAAATAGAGCCAACTTATACGTTTCAGAATAGGCTATTATGTATAAAAAGGGTGTTGACTGGTCTATTTGGTAATCTTTCCAAATCGAATCTGGAATATTGTTTGTGCTAAAAACTTAACAGAATGTTGGGAATATAGATTTGAATAGAGCGAAATCGAGAAAGAGGAAGAATCATTGTAGGAGAGAGAAAAATGTGAGAAAGTGTACTGGGGTAGTCACTCGTCAGATCACTTCCGGCTCGTCAACCTCCCGCGGAATGGGCAGGTGGGACGTTCATCGAGACTGGCAGAGCGCCTTGCGGCACAGATGTCCAGTAAGTATTCGCGCTCTGGGCTGGAAGTCTGGGCTCATCATCCGAGTGGATGACTAGGGCCGTCGTACAGAGGTACAACGAATTGTACGAACTATAGAACAGATCCTGTTCAAGTATAGTCGTGCTATCCTATGTGGAAATCTTTCAATATATTCTGCCGTGATAAACTGGTAAGAGGTAGGTGGGTCTTTTTGACGACGTGGCCGCTTGAAAGTGTGCCACGCCTGTCCAGATGCCCTTCTCTGAAGGTGCGTGAACGAACTCCCCTGCACCCATCACCTAGATTGGGCCGATCGATGCACTCTAGGCCGCAGAAATCCAACTGTCGCCATTGTGAATGTGAATGTGAGCAATTCAAGTACGCTCCACATTTTCGATACGCCCAGCCACAGGAACTAACTCTTGCTGTTTATCTTCCTATTTAGCTAGCCATGGCGGCCCTAGGCGGCGCGTGTACTCAGCTTAGACTTCCGGTTCCCGTGTCGCGTGGGCTCACAGACTATCGACCAGTGGTCTCCTCGTCTGCAGCACCTTCACTGTCCCATTCCAGCGGCGAATTCTCCCGCAATGGGTCCAATTTCTCTCTATTGCAATCGTCGCTCACTGCAAACCGCCTTTATGCAAGGCGTTTCTCGCTCAAACCCAGACGGGGAGATCTTAGGCCGGTGAGTTACCGGCAGGCCGTCAAAGTGACGGCTACTGGGTTATCCGGTGTGAACGGCAACGCGAACGGCTCGCTACCGACGGACGCGGAGGGAGCAGCGGCGTTGTCGGAATCGCGGAACGGATTGGGCGGCTCGGAAGAAGGCGGTTCGAAGGGGACGTCTGTGGATCCGTTGCAGGGAGCGAGCGCGGAAAGCGGCGGCAATGACGGCAGGAAGGTGGTGGTGATCGGCGCGGGGTGGGCTGGTCTCGGCGCCGCGCACCATCTCACGAAGCAGGTGCGCCGCCCTGAGCCTGAACGAGACAGGGGCATATTGCATAGCAGGTGCTTGCATTTCTGAAACGACGCCCCGAGTGGAGATTTTGGGATGTGAATCGAATACGGTATTGCGTAGCTCGTGACTAGGATTGAAGTGAACTTAGCTATCGACGCCATTTGCGGCGCGAATTCAGAGCCTCATACTGACGTGGCATGGCGGTGACGTGGCAGGGGTACGACGTGACGTTGCTGGAGGCGGGGCGACAGCCTGGCGGGCTGGTGGCGGGCTGGCGGAGCGACAAGGGGAAGCCCGTGGAGGTGGGCATTCACGGTGCGTGCGGTGAAGTGCGGTGAGTTGCGGTGAAGTGCGGTGAGGGGGTGTGTATGGAGTAGATGCAATGATGGTATGGTGTGCATTCACGGGGCAGCAGCCGGGCGGGCTGGTGGTGGGGTGGCGGAGTGACAAGGGGAAGCCTGTGGAGGTGGGCATTCACGGTGAGTGCGGTGAAGTGCGTTGAGGTGCGGTGAGGGGGGAGGTATGGATGCATGGGGATGGATGGGGAGACGACGGTTGGTGTGGTGTGTGTGTACCTTTGATAGATTGGTGGCGGGCTGGCGGTTTAGTGACGACGGTTGGTGTTGTGTGTGTGTCTTCCCCCACCAGGCTTTTGGTACCCCTACAGGAACATATTCGCCCTTACGTACGGACGAGCTGGGGCTCAAGCCCTTCACTGATTGGACGCGCTCAGCGCAGTACTCCCCTGCTGGCTTTCTCACCCACTCAAATGTCACAATCAGCAATCAACCCTTTCATCCCCATTCTATTCTCTCCCACCAGGCTTCTGGTACCCGTACAGGAACATCTTTTCTCTAACGGACGAGGTGGGCTTAAAGCCCTTCACTGACAGGACTGGACGCACTCAGCACACTACTCGCCTGCTGGCTTCAAATTGACTCCCCCCCCCTTCCCCTCCACCCCCCAGGCTTCTGGTACCCGTACAGGAACATCTTTTCTCTAACGGACGAGCTGGGCTTAAAGCCCTTCACTGGCTGGATACGCTCAGCGCACTACTCGCCTGCTGGCTTCAAATTGACTCCCCCCCCTTCCCCTGCCCCCCACCCAGGCTTCTGGCACCCCTATAAGAACATCTTTGCTCTGACGGATGAGCTGGGCTTAAAGCCATTCACTGACAGGACTGGACGCACTCAGCGCAGTACTCACCGGCTGGCCGACCGGCATCATTTCAACCCTTCCACCCTCCTCCCCTCCCCACCCAGGCTTCTGGTACCCCTACAGGAACATATTTTCTCTAACAGACGAGCTGGGGTTGAAGCCCTTTACAGATTGGACACGCTCCGCACAATACTCCTCTGCTGGCTTGGAGGTGGAATCGCCCATCTTCCAGGACTTGCCAAGGCTTCCATCTCCTCTGGGCACGTTTGTGTGGACGCAGGTGGGTGTGGTGGCAGGCATGCAACAGAGTAGGTGTGTGGGTGGGTTTAGTGCAGCGCAGCACTCGCCTGCTGGCGTGGAGGTGGAGTCGCCCATCTTCCAGGACCTTCCCCAACTGCCATCGTCAGCCGCCGTTTACTGCCCCTCCCCTTTGCTGCAAGCAACCCACTTCTGCAGTCCAAACGCCTGCCTCATGGTGAGGCATCTCACCACTCGTCTATCCCGCTGCCTTTTACCTGCTGCCACTCCAACCCCCCTGTTGCTCTCGCTGCCCCCACCCCTGCCCATCTCGCCGTTGCAGTTCAAGCGACTGCCTCTGGCGGATAGGCTGTCAGCACTCGCCCTCATGTACGCCAGTGAGTGCTGCACTGTGCTGCATGCTTCCCCTGTCTGTGTGTGGCCTTGTGTGTGACATGTGTCAGCGCTCGCCCTCATGTACGCCAGTGAGTGATCGCTTTCTTGTAGCTTGTCAACATGCTTTTCTCTGCCCGCACCCTGCTTGCTTGTAGCTGCGTCGTGCCTTTTTTGTGCGTGTATCTCGCTTTCTTTACCGCCCTCTACACATTCATCCTCCTTATAACCGCTCCCTCTACTGTCCTCCGCCATTCTCCCTGCGTACATCCACAGTGGTTGACTTTGACAACAGTGACGATGCATGGCGCCGATACGACAGATGTGAGTCCCTCCTTCGTCTTCCCCCCTCAGCCCTCCCTCGTCTTCCCCCCTCAGCCCTCCCTCGTCTTCCTGCCCTTCCTTTCTTCACTCCAGCCGTCCCTCACTCCATTCGCCTCTTTGCTCCTTGGTTCGCACCCATAAGCCGCACCGCGGGGCACCGCACCCCACCACACTGCACCGTACCGCACCACACTACACTACGCCCAACTCCCCTTTACTCCACGCAGTGACGGCACGGGAGCTGTTCAAGCAGTACAGGTGGACGGACCGGGTAGTGAAGCTGTTAGCTTCCCAATGCACCCATTCACACCATACTCCACCATACTGCACCGCACTCCACCACACCCTATCTTGCAGTGACGGCAAGGCAGCTGTTCAAGCAGTATGGGTGCACGGACCGCGTCTACAGGGAGGCATTCAACCCCATGCTGCTCGTGGGGCTGTTCGCCCCTCCTGCCCCCTCAACCAACACCACACCACTCTGCACCACACTACACCTCACCACACTGCGCTGCTCCCCACCATTCCCTACCCCAATCTATCCCATACAGTGACGGCCAGGCAGCTGTTCAAGCAGTATGGGTGCACGGACCGGGTCTACAGGGAAGCCTTCAACCCCATGCTGCTCGTGGGGCTGTTCGCTCCTGGCGAGCAGTGCAGTGCTGCTGCAACGCTTGGAATGCTCTACTATTTCATTCTGGCACATCAGGTGCGCGTGAGGAGAGAGAGGGGGGAACTCTTGAGGTGGTGGGTCTGTTCGCAGAACCCCATGCCGCTCGTGGGGCTGTTCGCGCCTGGCGAGCAGTGCAGTGCTGCTGCTACTCTCGGGATGCTCTCCTACTTCATTCTGGAGAACCAGGTGGGTGGGCGTTTGAGGGAAGGCGGTTACGAGGGGGATGAAATGAAGCACTGCTCACAGTTAACACAGCAGTTCAGCGCTGCTGCCACCCTCGGGATGCTTGCTGGAAGCAGCGCTGCACTGCGCTGCACTGCTGTGTTAACTGCTTCATCCTCGCACACCATGTGGGTGGGCGTTTGACGTTCCCTGTACCTTTACCCACATCTTTTCCCCCATGGTCAGGCTGACTTTAACGTGGTGTGGTGCAGGGGCACGGTGGGCGAGGCCATCTTTGCCCTCTCGTCTCTCCTCCTTCCCCTGTACCCCCCGAACAACCCCCCTCACAACAGGCCGATTTTGACATGGTGTGGCGCCGGGGCACGGTGGGCAAGACCATCTTCGTCCCCCCTCTCTCCGTCATCCTCTGAACTCCCTTCCACGACCCCTCAACGAACCCCCATCAGTTATTCCCCCCCTCAACAGGCCGAATTCGACGTGGTGTGCTGCCAGGGCACAGTAGGCGAGACCATCTTCGCCCCCTGCATACAAGCCCATGTGTTTCTCCCTCATCTCCTCCTTTCTCCGCACTTTCTTCTCTTGCATCTCCATCCATTCCACCGTCCCCCAACAGGCCGACTTCAACGTGGTGTGGTGTCGGGGCACGGTAGGGGAGACCATCTTCGCCCCCTGGATGCAAGCCCCCTGTGTCACCTCCGTTTCCCTCGCTCCCCCCTTCCCTCCATCCCCTCCCCCCTCTCCACTCACAGGCCGACTTTGACGTGGTGTGGTGTCGGGGCACGGTGGGCGAGACCATCTTCGCCCCCTGCATACAAGCCCCCTGTCTCTCCCTCATCTCCCTTGCACCTCATTCCCTCCCCCGCCCCCCCAACCCCCCACCAACAGGCCGACTTTGATGTGGTGTGGTGTCGGGGCACAGTGGGCGAGACCATCTTCGCCCCCTGGATCCGAAGCATGGAAGCTTCCGGGAACTTCCGCTTCCTGCCCAACCGCCGCGTCACAGGTGGGTGACGTGGGTTGTACTGACGACGCCCCATGTGACTCCCAGGAGGAGAGCTGGGAGCTGCGTGATAAAAGTAGTGTTCTGAGACGTCTCAAAACACTACTTTTATCACGTGGGGTGTACTGACTCCCCATGCCACTCCCAGGAGGAGAGCTGGGAGCTGGGGGGTTGAGCGATTTTCTTTGAGAATCCTCAAAAACTGACAAACGAGAGCTGGAAGCTGGGGGTTGAGTGATGGGTGCTGGGCAGTTGATAGCTGAAAGGTGATAGGGAGGGGGAGCAGAGCAGAGGCCGACCTTGGTAAAGTCACAGGAGTCGTTTGTGGTTGAGAATGGTTTTAAATCCTGCTTTTTTTCACTCCTGATCCCCATGCATCGCACGCTCCCCATCCTATCCCTCCCTTTCGTCACCTCCCTCCTGCGCCAGACATTGCAACGGCTGAGAACGATCCGGACAGAGTCACAGCGGTGGTGTGCGGTGACGAGGTGTTTGCAGCCGATGCAGTGGTGTCAGCTGTGGGCATCTCAGGCCTCAAGAACATCGTCGCATCAAGGTGAGTATTTCTGAGACCAAAATGCAACGAGGAGCTGCGTGAAAGTATATATTGTTGTGATACGTCTCAAAACTAATTCACATTGTCGCTTCGAGGTGAGTGCTCCTGTGGTAAAATGCAAAGGTGAACTGCCATGTCCAGGTGTGTATAATGTCAGGCTTGTCATTACTATTTTTGAGGCCAAAAAAAAAGTAGACTACTTTTGAGGCGCCTCAAAAGTCATCAGGCTACGCTGTTTGAAGTACCGGTCGTTGTCTATTGGGTACCTCGAGCATAGCCCTTCTTTCTCCTCTCCACCCTTCTCTCCCGCGCTTCGCTTCTCCCCCCTCTACTTTCCCACCCCTTCAGCCCAGCACTGTCCAGCAGGAAGGAGTTCCTGGGAGTGGCAAATCTGGGGGCGATTGACGTGCTGGCAGTGCGGTTGTGGCTCGACAGGAAGGTGAGTGCAGTGCGGTGAGGGGGTGTGCTGAGTGGTCAAGTGAGGTGCCTTGGCATTGGAATCTGGGTGCGATCGACATGCTGGCAGTGCGGTTGTGGCTTGACAGGAAGGTGCGTGGAGGGGTGCAGTGCGGTGAGGGGGTATACGGCGGGGTCCAGAGAGCTGCCCTGGCAATGGAATCTGGGGGCTGTCGACGTGTTGGCAGTGCGGTTGTGACTCGACAGGAAGGTGGGGCTGAAGGAAAATGGGCTGTAAAGTGAGTGTAGAACGGGACTAAATGATGGGTGTGGCACTGGGTTATATGATTGGAAACTTGGGGCTATCGACATGCCCCGGCTATATGACGAAGCATCTTCCACCAGCGATGTCCCTTCTTCCACTTGAACACTGTAGCATGCAAGTCAGACGCTCTTCTTCCCCCCTGTCTCTCCACCCCCCTCCCCTTCTCGCAGGTCACCATTCCCAAGCCATCCAACGCGTGTTTTGGCTTTGACGAGACAACAGGGTGGACCTTCTTTGATCTCAACGCCACAGCATTCAAGTCAGCGTGTTCGGCCCCTGTTTTCCCTCCCCCCTTGCCTCCTCCCTGCGCAGGTCTCCATCCCCAAGCCGTCCAACGCGTGTTTCGGTTTTGACGAGACAACAGGGTGGACCTTCTTTCATCTCAACGCCACAGCATTCAAGTCAGCGTGTTCGGCCCCTGTTTTCCCTCCCCCCTTGCCTCCTCCCTGCGCAGGTCTCCATCCCCAAGCCGTCCAACGCGCGTTTCGGTTTTGACGAGACAACAGGGTGGACCTTCTTTCATCTCAACGCCACAGCATTCAAGTCAGCGTGTTCGGCCCCTGTTTTCCCTCCCCCCTTGCCTCCTCCCTGCGCAGGTCTCCATCCCCAAGCCGTCCAACGCGTGTTTCGGTTTTGACGAGACAACAGGGTGGACCTTCTTTCATCTCAACGCCACAGCATTCAAGCCAATGTGCTCTTTTTGCCCCTTTTTCCTTATGCCCCCTGTCCTTTCTCCCCTTTCCTTGCCCCCTCCCCTTCTCGCAGATCACCATTCCCAAGCCGTCCAACGCGTGTTTTGGCTTTGACGAGACAACAGGGTGGACCTTGATTCAATCTGAACGCCACAGAATTCATGTCAGTGTGCTTGTGTTGCCCCCTGTTCTTCCTCCCCTCTCGTTGCCCCCTCCCCACGCAGATCAACATTCCCAAGCCATCCAACGCGTGTTTCGGTTTTGACGAGACAACAGGGTGGACCTTCTTTGATCTCAACGCCATCCACGACGAGTACAGGGATGAGCCCTGCACCGTCGTTGAGGCCGACTTTGTACGTATCGATAGTCCTGCTTTGACCCTCGTTGACCTGAGTTGACCTTCTTTGATCTGAACGCCATCCACGACGAGTACAAGGACGAGCCCTGCACTGTTGTTGAGGCCGACTTTGTGAGTGGTTGACTTGCATTGACTTGCATTGACCTATGTGGACCTTCTTTGATCTGAACGCCATCCACGACGAGTACAAGGACGAGCCCTGCACTGTTGTTGAGGCTGACTTTGTGAGTCGTTGACTAGAGTTGACCTGCGTTGACACCTTTTGACTTGAGTTGACTCTCGTGGACCTTCTTTGATCTTAACGGTATCCACGATGAAAACAGGGGCAAGCCCTGCACCGTTGTTGAGGCCAATAGCCCAATAGCCCAACAGCCTAATAGCCGAATAGCCTAATAGCCCAACAGCCTAATAGCCTAATAGCCAAATAGCATAATAGCCCAATAGCCCAATAGCCCAACAACCCAATAGCCCAACAGCCTAATAGCCTAATAGCCTAATAGCCCAATAGCCTTATAGCCCAATAGCCTAATAGCCCAATAGCCCAGTAGCCTAATAGCCCAATAGCCTAATAGCCCAATAGCCTAATAGCCCAACAGCCTAATAGCCTAATAGCCTAATAGCCCAATAGCCCAATAGCCTTATAGCCCAATAGCCTAATAGCCCAATAGCCTAATAGCCCAATAGCCTAATAGCCCAACAACCCAATAGCCGAACAGCCTAATAGCCTAATAGCCTAATAGCCCAATAGCCCAATAGCCTAATAGCCCAATAGCCTAGTAGCCCAACAGCCCAATCGCCCAATAGCCTAATAGCCCAATAGCCCAATATCCTAATAGCCTAATAGCCCAATAGCCCAATAGCCCAATAGCCTAATAGCCCAATAGCATAATAGCCCAATAGCCCAATAGCCTAATAGCCTAATAGCCAAATAGCCCAATAGCCCAATAGCCCAACAACCCAATAGCCCAATAGCCCAATAGCCCAATAGCCCAATAGCCCAATAGCCCAACAGCCCAATAGCCCAACAGCCTAATAGCCTAATAGTCTAATAGCCCAATAGGCCAATAGCCTTATAGCCCAATAGCCTAATAGCCAAATAGCATAATAGCCCAATAGCCCAATAGCCCAACAACCCAATAGCCCAACAGCCTAATAGCCTAATAGCCCAATAGCCTTATAGCCCAATAGCCGAATAGCCCAATAGCCCAGTAGCCTAATAGCCCAATAGCCTAATAGCCCAATAGCCTAATAGCCCAACAGCCTAATAGCCTAATAGCCTAATAGCCCAATAGCCCAATAGCCTTATAGCCCAATAGCCTAATAGCCCAATAGCCTAATAGCCCAATAGCCTAATAGCCCAACAACCCAATAGCCGAACAGCCTAATAGCCTAATAGCCTAATAGCCCAATAGCCCAATAGCCTAATAGCCCAATAGCCTAGTAGCCCAACAGCCCAATCGCCCAATAGCCTAATAGCCCAATAGCCCAATATCCTAATAGCCTAATAGCCCAATAGCCCAATAGCCCAATAGCCTAATAATTCGACTATGCCGCGAAACGTCAGATCCTTCTCGCCGACGGCAATTCAAAGTCTCTCGCCGCGAGTCGTCGCATCCACCAGTGGCGTTCGGCATTCTCCTACATCGCGTGACCAACAAGCGTCCCGCTATTTTCAAGATCGCACTAAAAAATCAGGCCCAAACTTCAACATTACACTAGTGTTAGAACGTAGCACGTAGCATGACAGTCTAGTGACGACAACTTGCAAGCCAGACTGTGTGCTTCTAAACACTATGCCGTACGCTTCAGCTGCTCTCCCAGTCCCTCAATGATTTCGTGCACTCTCGGTCTGCCAATAGCATAATAGCCCAATAGCCCAATAGCCTAATAGCCTAATAGCCAAATAGCCCAATAGCCCAATAGCCCAACAACCCAATAGCCCAATAGCCCAATAGCCCAATAGCCCAATAGCCCAACAGCCCAATAGCCCAACAGCCTAATAGCCTAATAGTCTAATAGCCCAATAGGCCAATAGCCTTATAGCCCAATAGCCTTATAGCCCAATAGCCCAATAGCCTAATAGCCCAATAGCCTAATAGCCCAATAGCCTAATAGCCCAATAGCCTAATAGCCTAATAGCCCAATAGCCCAATAGCCTTATAGCCCAATAGCCTAATAGCCCAATAGCCTAATAGCCCAACAGGCTAATAGCCCAACAACCTAATAGCCTAATAGCCCAATAGCCCAATAGCCCAATAGCCTAATAGCCCAATAGCATAATAGCCCAATAGCCCAATAGCCTAATAGCCTAATAGCCAAATAGCCCAATAGCCCAATAGCCCAACAACCCAATAGCCCAATAGCCCAATAGCCCAATAGCCCAATAGCCCAATAGCCCAACAGCCCAATAGCCCAACAGCCTAATAGCCTAATAGTCTAATAGCCCAATAGGCCAATAGCCTTATAGCCCAATAGCCTTATAGCCCAATAGCCCAATAGCCTAATAGCCCAATAGCCTAATAGCCCAATAGCCTAATAGCCCAATAGCCTAATAGCCTAATAGCCCAATAGCCCAATAGCCTTATAGCCCAATAGCCTAATAGCCCAATAGCCTAATAGCCCAACAGGCTAATAGCCCAACAACCTAATAGCACAATAGCCTAATAGCCCAATAGCCTAATAGCCCAATAGCCCAATAGCCTAATAGCCCAATAGCCTATTAGCCCAACAGCCCAATCGCCCAATAGCCTAATAGCCCAATAGCCTAATAGCCCAATAGCCCCTAATAGCCAAATAGCCTAATAGCCCAACATCCTAATAGCCCAACAGCCTAATAGCCCAACAGCCTAATAGCCCAATAGCCGAATAGCCCAATAGCCCAATAGCCCAATAGCCCAACAGCCTAATAGCCCAACAGCCTAATAGCCCAATAGCCTAATAGCCCAATAGCCCAATAGCCCAATAGCCCAACAGCCTAATAGCCCAACAGCCTAATAGCCCAACAGCCTAATAGCCCAACAGCCTAAAAGCCCAATAGCCTAATAGCCCAATAGCCTAATAGCCCAATAGCCAAATATCCTAATAGCCCAATAGCCTAATAGCCCAATAGCCTAATAGCTTAATGGCCCAAAAACCTAATATCCCAACAGCCTAATAGCCCAATAGCCCAATAGCCTAATAGCCCAATAGCCTTATAGCCCAATAGCCTAATAGCCGAATAGCCTAATAGCCCAATAGCCTAATAGCCCAACAGCCTAATATCCCAACAGCCTAATAGCCTAATAGCCCAGTATCCTAATAGCCCAATAGCCCAATAGCCCAACAAACCAATAGCCCAACAGCCTAATAGCCTAATAGCCTAATAGCCCAATAGGCCAATACCCTTATAGCCCAATAACCTTATAGCCCAATAGCCCAGTAGCCTAATAGCCCAATAGCCTAATAGCCCAATAGCCTAATAACCCAACAGCCTAATAGCCCAATAGCCTAATAGCCTAATAGCCCAATAGCCCAATAGCCTTAAAGCCCAATAGCCTAATAGCCCAATAGCCTAATAGCCCAACAGGCTAATAGCCCAACAGCCTAATAGCCCAACAGCCTAATAGCCTAATAGCCCAATAGCCCAATAGCCTAATAGCCCAATAGCCTATTAGCCCAACAGCCCAATCGCCCAATAGCCCAATAGCCCAATAGCCTAATAGCCCAATAGCCTAATAGCCCAATAGCCCAATAGCCCAATAGCCCAATAGCCTAATAGCCCAACAGCCTAAAAGCCCAACAGCCGAATAGCCCAACAGCCTAATAGCCCAACAGCCTAATAGCCCAATAGCCTAATACCCCAATAGCCTAACAGCCCAATAGCCTAATAGCCCAATAGCCTAATAGCCCAATAGCCTAATAGCCCAATGGCCCCTAATAGCCAAATAGCCTAATAGCCCAACAGCCTAATAGCCCAACAGCCTAATAGCCCAACAGCCTAATAGCCCAACAGCCTAATAGCCCAATAGCCTTATAGCCCAACAGCCTAATAGCCCAATAGCCTAATAGCCCAAGAGCCTAACAACCCAATAGCCTAATAGCCCAATAGCCTAATAGCCCAATAGCCTAATAGCCCAATAGCCCCTAATAGCCAAATAGCCTAATAGCCCTACAGCCTAATAGCCCAACATCCTAATAGCCCAATAGCCTAATGGCCCAATAGCCTAATAGCCCAATAGCCCAATAGCCCAATAGCCCAACAGCCTAATAGCCCAACAGCCTAATAGCCCAACAGCCTAATAGCCCAATAGCCTAATAGCCCAATAGCCTAATAGCCCAATAGCCCAATAGCCTAATAGCCCAATAACCTATTAGCCCAACAGCCCAATCGCCCAATAGCCTAATAGCCCAATAGCCCAATAGCCTAATAGCCTAATAGCCCAATAGCCCAATAGCCCAATGTCTTAATAGCATAATAGTCCAATACCCCAATAGCCAAATAGCCCAATAGCCTAATAGCCCAATAGCCCAATAGCCCAATAGCCTAATAGCCCAACAGGCCAAATCCCAACAGCCTAATAGCCCAACAGCCTAATAGCCCAACAGCCTAATAGCCCAACAGCCTAATAGCCCAATAGCCTAACATCCCAATAGCCTAATAGCCCAATAGCCTAATTGCCCAATAGCCTAATAGCCCAATAGCCCCTAATAGCCAAATAGCCTAATAGTCCAACAGCCTAATAGCCCAACAGCTTAATAGCCCAACAGCCTAATAGCCCAACAGCCTAGTAGCCCAACAGCCTAATAGCCCAATAGCCTAATAGCCCAATAGCCTAACAACCCAATAGCCTAATAGCCCAAAAGCCTAATAGCCCAATAGCCTAGTAGCCCAATAGCCCCGAATAGCCAAATAGCCTAATAGACCAACATCCTAATAGCCCAACAGCCTAATAGCCCAACAGCCTAATAGCCCAATAGCCTAATAGCCCAATAGCCCAATAGCCCAAGAGCCCAATTGCGGAGAGTCACTCTACAATGGTAATGAGCTTGACTACGGGGGTTGGCACGAACTACTAGTAGTGATCGTAGCTTTGCCTAGTTCCTTAGTGCTTGCACAATCACGGGAGAAATCGGCAAGAGTTTCCACTAGCAAAGTCGAAATTACGGAAAAAATTGATTCAACAAGCAATGACAACAATGACTACATCAGGCACCTAGCAACTCTGCAGCTAGCCTGGTCGACCGCCAGCACAGCTTGGTCGACCGCCTGCCAGCGTTGCGTAGAGGAGCCGCGCCAGCACTGCAGAAAGGCGACCTGCCAACACTGCAGGTCGACGGCGTGCCAACGCTGCAGCGGAGCGGCTGTCCAGCGTTGCCCCGTAGAAGACAGCAGTGCGCACGCTCGCAGGTGCACGCAGACGATTGGCCCGACTTGCACCGTTGTGCATCCGTCGGTTGTTGTCTGCGCCTGACGAGCCACATCGACTTCGGGATACCAGCCCGAAGTCGCCTTCGCCATCGCGACCTCGACGACGTTCGCGTGCCTCCGCAGAACTCGTCCTACAGGTTACCCGGTCGACCTGGTCGACCATCAAGTGCTCCGGTCGACCACCAGTGCCTCTGGTCGACCACTGGGTCCCTCTGGTCGACCACCAGGTTCCTCTGGTCGACCACAGCTCCCGTCGAGCTACCCCCTGGTCGACGGACCCCTTCCGTCGACCAGAAATGGCAGATGATGTCGCCGAGCTCCCCTCGTTGACCGCTGCTCAGTTGTCAGGTCGACGGACTGCTCCGTCGACCTCCCGGTCGAACTGCAGGTTGACGGACTGCTCCGTCGACCTCCCGGTCGAACTGCCCCTCCTGGTCGACGGCCTACCCGTCGCCCAGACCAGTCAGTTGCAGCTGTCGAGCTCCCTGGTCGACAGCAACACCACAGCGGTCCCCTGCAGCTCGACCAAGCCTGTCGAGCAGCTCTCCCACTGTGAACGGTCGGCTGCTACTCCCTTACATCCGACCAAGTCGTCGGCGTTGCCCAAGCGAGGGCGGGGCCAACACTCCATTCCCGTTAACACCAATAGCCCAACAGCCTAATAGCCCAACAGCCTAATAGCCCAACAGCCTAATAGCCCAATAGCCTAATAGCCCAATAACCTAATAGCCCAAAAGCCTAATAGCTTAATGGCCCAACAGCCTAATATCCCAACAGCCTAATAGCCCAATAGCCCAATAGCCTAATAGCCCAATAGCCTTATAGCCCAATAGCCTAATAGCCGAATAGCCTAATAGCCCAACAGCCTAATAGCCCAACAGCCTAATATCCCAACAGCCTAATAGCCTAATAGCCCAATATCCTAATAGCCCAATAGCCCAATAGCCCAACAGCCCAATAGCCCAACAGCCTAATAGCCTAATAGCCTAATAGCCCAATAGGCCAATAGCCTTATAGCCCAATAGCCTTATAGCCCAATAGCCCAGTAGCCTAATAGCCCAATAGCCTAATAGCCCAATAGCCTAATAGCCCAACAGCCTAATAGCCCAATAGCCTTATAGCCTAATAGCCTAATAGCCCAATAGCCCAATAGCCCAATAGCCTTATAGCCCAATAGCCTAATAGCCCAACAGGCTAATAGTCCAACAGCCTAATAGCCCAACAGCCTAATAGCCTAATAGCCTAATAGCCCAATAGCCCAATAGCCTAATAGCCCAATAGCCTATTAGCCCAACAGCCCAATCGCCCAATAGCCTAATAGCCCAATAGCCCAATAGCCCAATAGCCCAATAGCCCAATAGCCCAATAGCCCAATAGCCTAATAGCCCAATAGCCTAATAGCCCACTAGCATAATAGCCCAATAGCCCAATAGCCTAATAGCCCAATAGCCCAATAGCCCAATAGCCCAGTAGCCCAATAGCCTAATAGCCCAACAGCCTAAAAGCCCAACAGCCTAATAGCCCAACAGCCTAATAGCCCAACAGCCTACTAGTCCAATAGCCCAATACCCCAATAGCCTAACAGCCCAATAGCTTAATAGCCCAATAGCCTAATAGCCCAATAGCCTAATAGCCCAATAGCCCCTAATAGCCAAATAGCCTAACAGCCCAACAGCCTAATAGCCCAACAGCCTAATAGTCCAACAGCCTAATAGCCCAACAGCCTAATAGCCCAACAGCCTAATAGCCCAATAGCCTAATATCCCAATAGCCTAACAACCCAATAGCCTAATAGCCCAATAGCCCAATAGCCCAATAGCCTAATAGCCCAACAGCCTAATAGCCCAACATCCTAATAGCCCAATAGCCTATTAGCCCAATAGCCTAATAGCCCAATAGCCCAATAGCCCAATAGCCCAACAGCCTAATAGCCCAACAGCCTAATAGCCCAACAGCCTAATAGCCCAACAGCCTAATAGCCCAATAGTCTAATAGCCCAACAGCCTAATAGCCCAATAGCCTAATAGCCCAATAGCCCAATAGCCTAATAGCCAATAGCCTTATAGCCCAATAGCCTAATAGCCGAATAGCCTAATAGCCTAACAGCCTAATTGCCCAACAGCCTAATAGCCCAACAGCCTAATAGCCCAACAGCCTAATAGCCTAATAGCCCAAAATCCTAATAGCCCAATAGCCAATAGCCCAATTGCCCAATAGCCCAACAGCCTAATAGCCCAACAGCCTAATAGCCCAAGAGGCTAATAGCCCAAGAGCCTAATAGCCCAACAGCCTAATAACCCAACAGCCTAATAGCCCAATAGCCTAATAGCCTAATAGCCCAATAGCCCAATAGCCCAATAACCCAATAGCCTAATCGCCCAACAGCCTATTAGCCCAACAGCCTAATAGCCCAACAGCGTAATAGCCCAATAGCCTAGTAGCCCAATAGCCCAATAGCCCAATATCCCAATAGCCCAATAGCCTAACAGCCTAATAGCCCAATAGCCCAATAGCCCAATAGCCTAATAGCCCAATAGCCCAAAAGCCCAATAGCCCAATCACCCAATAGCCCAATCGCCCAATAGCCCAATAGCCTAATAGCCCAATAGCCCAATAGCCGAATAGCCCAATAGCCTAATAGCCCAATAGCCCAATAGCCTATTAGCCCAATAGCCCAATAGCCTTATAGCCCAATAGCCCAATAGCCCAATAGCCCAATAGCCTAATAGCCCAGTAGACTTATAGCCCAATAGCCTAATAGCCCAATAGCCCAATATACTAATAGCCCAATAGCCCAATAGCCTAATAGCCCAATAGCCTAATAGCCCAATAGCGAATAGCCCAACAGCCTAATAGCCCAATAGCCTAATAGCCCAATTGCCTAATAGCCCAATAGCGAATAGCCCAACAGCCTAATAGCCCAATAGCCTAATAGCCCAATTGCCTAATAGCCCAATAGCCTAATATCCCAATAGTCTAATAGCCCAATAGCCTAATATCCCAATAGCCCAATAGCCTAATATCCCAATAGCCCAACAGCCTAATAGCCCAATAGCCCAATAGCCCAACAGCCTAATAGCCCAACAGCCTAATAGCCCAACAGCCTAATAGCCCAACAGCCTAATAGCCCAACAGCCTAATAGCCCAACAGCCTAATAGCCCAACAGCCTAATAGCCCAACAGCCTAATAGCCCAACAGCCTAATAGCCCAACAGCCTAATAGCCCAACAGTCTAATAGCCCAACAGCCTAATAGCCCAACAGCCTAATAGCCCAACAGCCTAATAGCCCAACAACCTAATAGCCCAACAGCCTAATAGCCCAATAGCCGAACAGCCCAATATCCCAACAGCCCAATAGCCCAATAGCCCAATAGCCCAATAGCCCAATGGTGGCAACGGTCATGCGCTACCTCGCGACCTGCATGCCTGCTCTCAAAGGCTGCCCTTACTCCCTTCCACTCCTCTCAACCCCCCTTCCTCCCACTGGCAGTACCACGCGAATCAGTACCTGCCCATGTCAGACGAGGCGATAGTGGCAACAGTCTTGTGCTACCTCGCCACCTGCATGCCTGCTCAGCGCTGCTTCTTATCACTCACCCATACCCCCTCACTCCTCCTCGTCACTCCCTGTCATTCCGTTTCACCCCTTCAAACCCCCCTTCCTCCAACCACCAGTACCACGCGAATCAATACCTGCCCATGTCAGACGAGGCCATAGTGGCAACGGTCATGCGCTACCTCTCATTCCCCTGCCTCCCTGCTCTCAAAGGCTGCCGTTACTCCCTTCCACTCCTCTCAACCCCCCTTCCTCCCACTGGCAGTACCACGCGAATCAATACCTGCCCATGTCAGATGAAGCCATAGTGGCAACGGTCATGCGCTACCTCTCATCCCCCCTCCTCTTCTCCATTCCCTTACTGCTCTATCCCCAATCCCCCCTGCTCTCACCACCACCACCACCAGTACCACGCGAACCAATACCTGCCCATGTCAGATGAAGCCATAGTGGCAACAGTCATGCGCTACCTCACCACCTGCCTCCCTGCCTTCGCCTCTGCCCAAGTCGCCGACAGTGCTGTCGTGCGCTTCCCGAGAGCCGTCACCCACTTCTCCCCAGGTGTGTTGCTTGGTGTGTTGTGTTGGGTGGGTGGGTGGGCAAAGGGCAAATTAGGCAAAAAGGGGGGAAGGAGAAGAGGGAATGAGAAAGGGGCAACGTCACGCGCAACCTTGCTACCTGGATCCCATTGCCCGCGCTTGTGTCCCCAACCCCCTTTCACAAAACCCCTCCCCATTCGCAGGCTCCTATCAGCACCTACTCCCCGCCACCACAAGCTTCACCAATCTCTTCATGGCATGGACCTCCCTTCTCCACCTCTCCATCTAACCAACGCCTGTATGGCTGACTGTGCCCATCTAACCGACCCCTCCCCTCTCCCCCTCTGTGCCTCCTATCCCCCCCACAACCAGGCTCCTACCAGCACCTCCTCCCAGCCACCACCAGCTTCACCAACCTCTTCATGGCTGGCGACTGGATCGTGACTCGCCACGGCTCCTGGTCGCAGGTATGACGTGGGCCCGGGTGTGCAGGCATATGCATGGGTGCTTGCTTTTTTGGTGAGGGTCGCAGGTAGAGCATGGGTCAGGGTCATGCCTGCCACCACCAGCTTCACCAACCTCTTCATGGCTGGCGACTGGATCGTCACTCGCCACGGCTCCTGGTCGCAGGTATGTGGTATATGGGGCATGGGTGAAATGTATGGCATGGGGCATGGGTGAAATATATGGCGTGGGGCATGGGTGAAGTGTATGGCATGGGGCTTGGGTGAAGTGTATGGCATGGGGCATGGGTGAAGTGTATGGCATGGGGCATGGGTGAAGTGTATGGCATGGGGCATGGGTGAAGTGTATGGCATGGGGCATGGGTGAAGTGTATGGCATGGGGCATGGGTGAAGTGTATGGCATGGGGCATGGGTGAAGTGTATGGCATGGGGCATGGGTGAAGTGTATGGCATGGGGCATGGGTGAAGTGTATGGCATGGGGCATGGGTGAAGTGTGTGGCATGGGGCATGGGTGAAGTGTATGGCATGGGGCATGGGTGAAGTGTATGGCATGGGGCATGGGTGAAGTGTATGGCATGGGGCATGGGTGAAGTGTATGGCATGGGGCATGGGTGAAGTGTATGGCATGGGGCATGGGTGAAGTGTATGGCATGGGGCATGGGTGAAGTGTATGGCATGGGGCATGGGTGAAGTGTATGGCATGGGGCATGGGTGAAGTGTATGGCATGGGGCATGGGTGAAGTGTATGGCATGGGGCATGGGTGAAGTGTATGGCATGGGGCATGGGTGAAGTGTATGGCATGGGGCATGGGTGTGTATGGCATGGGGCATGGGTGAAGTGTATGGCATGGGGCATGGGTGAAGTGTATGGCATGGGGCATGGGTGAAGTGTATGGCATGGGGCATGGTTGAAGTGTATGGCATGGGGCATGGGTGAAATATATGGCGTGGGGCATGGGTGAAGTGTATGGCATGGGGCATGGGTGAAGTGTATGGCATGGGGCATGGGTGAAGTGTATGGCATGGGGCATGGGTGAAGTGTATGGCATGGGGCATGGGTGAAGTGTATGGCATGGGGCATGGGTGAAGTGTATGGCATGGGGCATGGGTGACATGTATGGCCATCTAAACCCGTTGCACCTGTTATCTCTGATACACCCAATGCACATGCATTTCCCCCTCTATGTGACCGGGCTAGAGGCGGCGAACCGGGTGGTGCGGCTGGTAGGGGAGGGGAGTCTTAAGGGACACCTCAGCGTCTCACATGCGCACTACTGATGTGTTGAATCCCTCTCTATCGTTCTCCCACTCCATCCCATCAGGAGAAGGCGTATGTGACCGGGCTAGAGGCAGCGAACCGGGTCGTGCGGCTGGTGGGGGAGGGGGAGCCAGCGACGATAATCCCGGTGGAGCGGGACGAGGAGCACATAGAGCAGCTGAGGCAGCTCAACCAGTCGGCCAAGCAGGTCATCAACCTGCTGCCGTTTGCTGGTGCTCTCCTGGAATGAGGGAGGGAACGGGAGAGGGAGGGAGAGGGGGGAACGGAGGGGTAAAGAGAGGGGGAGGGAGCAACCATAATCCCAGTGGAGAGGGATGAGGAGCACATAGAGCAGCTGAGGCAGCTCAGTCGGCAAAGCAGGTCATCAATCTGCTGCCGTTTGCTGGTTCTCTGCTGCAATGAGAGACGGGAGGGGGTGAAAGGAAGGGGGAAGGGGAGCCAGCGACGATAATCCCGGTGGAGCGCGATGAGAACCACATCGAGCAGCTGAGGCAGCTCAACCAGTCGGCCAAGCAGGTCATTAACCTGCTGCCGTTTGCTGGTGCTCTCCTGGAATGACATAGGCAGCTCTACCAGTCCGCAAAGCAGGTTGCCAGCCTCTTCCCCTTTGCTGTTGCCCTCCTGGAATGACCCATGAGGTGTCTTTTTTGGGAGGGGGAAGGGAGGGATGAGGAGCACATAGAGCAGCTAAGGCAGCTCTCTTTGCCAGTGCTTTCCTCCAGTGATGCTTTTATTGTGCTTTTGCATCCTTCTTTCTCTTTCTTTTTTTATTATTCCAGACACGATTGGAGTGCGTGTACAACAGTTTTGAAGCTATATTGAGGATACTAGCACATTGCTTGTAATAACTTGCATGGAGGGCAAATTCTCCGCACCTTAAAACAGGGCACAAATCAGTCATTAGTTTGACCAATGGATATAAGAACACAACACAACACATTCTTGTTCAGTCTACATGATGGCAAGCTCTAAGTTGCAGCCAAATAAGAGAAATTACTCTCACCGATTAACTTTCCGTAAATCAACCCAGCAAAAAATCTACAGGTGGTTCGTACCGGTACCGTATCTGTAGTCACTTTTACCGGTAAGTTTAATCAACTTAGTTGATCCATGTGTAATACAATGAAACACAACACATTCTTCTTCAGTCGTTGACAAGCTCAAAAGCTGCAGCCAAAAACGTACGCCAAATTATTCTCCAAAGCAGATAATCAAGCCAACCCAGCACAAAATTTACAGGTGTTTCGTATCTGCAGCAGCAACTGCTGTCCCATTTCATACCACTTCGAGGAGGTACGGTAGTATCACCACCGTGCGGGGAAAGGACAATGGTTGTGCTGCTGCGTTAAAACATAACAGTTACCACTAAGCTTAGCATCCCAGTGGCCTCCTGCTGCGCCCACCCTCAAAGGTAGTATCACCACCGTGCGGGGACAACGTAACAGTTACCACTAAGCTTAACATCCCTGTAGCCTTCTGCTGCACCCACCCTCCCTGAACATCCCCCCTTTTTATCAGGCGCCTCAAAGGTAGTACCACCACTGTGCGGGACGGGGACAATAGTTGTGCTGCTGCGTCACAAAGTACCGTAACAGTTACCACTAAGCTTAACATCCCTGTAGCCTTCTGCTGCACCCACCCTCCCTGAACATCCCCCCTTTTTATCAGGCGCCTCAAAGGTAGTACCACCACTGTGCGGGACGGGGACAATAGTTGTGCTGCTGCGTCACAAAGTACCGTAACAGTAACCACTAAGCTTAGCATCCCTGTAGTATAGCCTCCAGCTGCACCCACCCTCCCTGAATATCCCCCATTTTCCCCCTCCCCCACTTGCTCGCCAGGGAGGGACCATCACATGGGCGGCATGAACCACAGCAAATTGCAGCAGCTGTAGCAGCAGCCGTAGCAGTAGCTATAGCAGCATCTGTAGCAGCAGCTATAGCAGCAGCTGTAGCAGCTGTAGCAGCAGTTGTAGCAGATCTCACAGCCCTCCCCACTCCCATCCACACTAGTCAACGACCAGCGTATGGGGGAAGAGGAGGGGGGGGAGGAGTAGAGCGCAGCAGCTGTAGTAGCATTTCCTTTCCTCCTGCTATAGCTTCAAGCCCTATCGGCCCATCCTTGAACTCCCCCCACTGCCACCATTCCCTTCACCAGCCAACGACAAGCGTATGAGGAGGGGTAGACCGCAGCAGCTGTAGCAGCAACAGGTTCTCCTGCTTTATGTTCAAACCCTATCGTCCCATCCTTGCGCTTCCCCCAATTCCCCCGGCACTCCCCTCACTAGCCAGGGACCACCGCATAGGGGGTGTGGACCGCAGCAGCTGCAGCAGCATCTCCTCCTGCTGTAGCTTGCAATTCTACCGACCCATCCGTGCACTTCCCCCACTACCAGCACCTCCCTCACTAGCCAGGGACCACCGTATTGGGGGGGTGGAGCGCAGCAGCTGCAGCAGCATTTCCTCCTGCTGTAGCTTCAACCCTATCGCCCCATCCTTGCACTTCACCCACTTCCCCCACTCCCCCCACTCCCCACACCATTCCCCTCACTAGCCAGGGACCAGCGTATGGGGGGGGTGGAGCGCAGCAGCTGTAGCAGCATCTCCTCCTGCTGTAGCTTTAATCAAAACCCTATCGGGCAGTCCTTGCGCTTCCCCCAATCCCACCATTCCCCTCACTAGCTAACGACCAGCGTATTGGGGGTGTAGACCGCAGCAGCTGTAGCAACATTTCCTCCTGCTGTAGCTTTGCTTTCGACAATGCTGGCCGTTTGGGCGACACAGGAGGACCAGTAGGGGGTTGACACTGAGCAGTGGGAGACAACAGAGGGTGAGGTGACTGGCTGTTGCTACTGCCGCTCGCCCCAATGCTGCTCCCCTCTCCCCCTTCTCCCGCCCCTTCCCCCTGCTCCGCTTCCCCTTCCGCCCACCCCTCCCCCATCTCCTCCTCCCCCCACTCTCCCCCCCTTCGGGAGACTACAGACAGGGACGTGGGCATAAACCGCCTTGCTCCCCCTCCGCTCCCCCCTTCCCCCCCTCCCGCCCCTTTCCCCCTCTCCCCTCTTTCCGCCACCGACATTCCCCTGTGGAATCTCGAGATGCCATCCTGGCCGTCCAATCCCTCCCACACGCGCGGGCTCCCCATTCCCCCCGCAGACGCCGAACCTCCCCCCGGCCCCCCTGGTCCGCTCCCTCCAAAGCTCCCCCCCACTCCCCCCCTCGCTATAGCCCGCGCCATCTGCAACGGTCCTCCTCTAGTCCCCCCTATAGTCACATTCTTTAGAATCTCCTGTAACCGTTCGTGGCTGCTCTTGGCGGGCGGTTTTCCCACCTTTTTTCCGCCCTCCCCGCCCCCGCCCGCTTCCCCTCCGCCTTCCGCCTTCCCCCGTCCCCCTCTCCTTCCCCCCTCTCCCCTGCTGATGCTGCCGCTGCTGTAACTGTGACGGTTACGTTCCACCGCTACTGACCGACTTTTAGTTAAGCGCGGACCATACACATCCCCTGCTCTACCTCCCACGCCCCCGCCCCCGGCCCCGCTTCTTTCTAGTGACGTGGCAGGGACGGCTACTGACGTGGACGATGGAAAGAACGCCTCTGCTGACGTGGCGGGACGTGGCATGGACACGCTGGCGCGGTCATGGCGGAAAGCAATACTGTCTGTTCCCACTTCTCGAAAAATATTGGTATCTGATTGGATTTCCTCGTCAATATTTGATTCCTCGACCCCATGCCTCTCCGCCCCTTCTTTTCCCCGTTTCCCCCCCACCTCCTCCGCACGTTCCCTTTCCGCGATTCCCCTTGCCGCCTTCCTCCCTGTCCCCTCTTCGCCTTCCCCTTCCAGATCGCGCCCCTCCCGAGTGAAATCTTCCCCCTCCTCCCGACCCCCCTCGCCCCCGCCCGTTTCCCCCTCGGCGCAACTGCTGCTGGCTCCTGATTCGCTGTCGCTCCGCATTCCCCGCCCGCACAGCAAAAACCCGCGGAGAGCCGCCGCTCCCACCGCTCCCCCCGCTTCCCCCACTAGTTGCGCGGAAGGCGGGGCGACGCGGAACGAGAAGGGACCGGAGCCGCGGACATCGTTTCTAGCAACATCTCCCGCTGTAGTCACCCCATCTGCCCCCGCTTCTGCCCCTTCCCGCGCAATGACCCCTTCCCCCGACTCTGCCCCCAGCGCTACCCCCCCTTCCCCCGTTCCCCGCGCAACGGCGGAGTCTTTGCTGCGCAGAACCGCATTCTCGGGAGAGCGGAACAGCGCCACCGCCGCCGTCACTCCGCTCATCGACCGGGAGCGCAGCCGAGCCGCGAATGTCGGTTTGGTCGGCGACTTAGGCGGCTGAGCGGCAGAGCCGACAGTAGCGCTAAGGCATTCCCGGTTGGCTTCGGTCCACAAACGAAGGTTCTTGGTGGCTTCGCTACTGCTAACGTTTCCGACTGCGTGGGTGGTGCTATCACGGGCAGAAACGGCGGTACGGTCACTTTGGCTCGCGACCACGTTACTCTTTCCGTCTCCGTTACCGTTACCGTTATCGTGAGCCCTGACGTCCGTCGACTCCCGTCCGCCGGCTGTCGCACTCGAAACCGCGGAACCGACCCCCGCGGCTGCTACAGCCGATTCGTCTAGCCTTTTGCGAGGCGCCTCGGCATTCGACGTCGCTAACGCAGCAGCTGCTACAGCGAAATCGTCCCCCCCCGACGGAAACCTCGAGAACCACCTTCGAGAGTTTTTTGAAACGGACGGATTCTCGTTCACGAGGCGCTTCGAGATGTCTTTCTGGAGGCCCGACGCGGTGGAGTGGACGGCGTGCAGAAACACGTTAAGCTGCTTTCCCGCGAATTCCGACGAGGAGATTAACTCCGCCAGGTCGCGGTGGAAGCGCTTCAGGTCTGCGGGGCCGCAGCTGGGGAGAGATATGTCGCTACGCGTCGGCGCTTGCGCCACCTGGAAGGGGGGGGCGGGAAGGGGGAGGAGGGAGCGGAGGAACGGCTTTAGAGGCGCCACAAGAAATCGCGGGGCTGCGGCTGGGGAGAGATATGTCGCTCCGCGTCAGCGCTTGCGCCACGTGGGGGGTGGGGGAAGAAGGGGGGAGGGTGCGGAGGAGCGGGGAGCAGCGAGGGGGAGCGGAGGCGGGGGACGTGAGGTTGCGCTGCGCCATGGCGGGGATTTTGTAACAGTGCGACGCGTACCACCATCACCCACGAACCTCCCAGATTATTAGGTGTATCTCTGTGATGCTTCTCCCGCTTTTGTCGCGCAAAACGGCTGTTTTTGTCCTGCACAGAGTAAAAAACCCTTCTATGACTACTTTCACTTAGCTCAAAATTACCTGCGAGAGCACGAGGTTGAGTTGCGCCATAGCGGGGATCTTGTAGCAGTGCGCGACGTACCAATCCGCCTTCCACACGTCGCCCACTACATCCGACGCAAGCGACGCGCCGCCAGACACCGATTTCGCTGTTAACGACGCAGCGCCGGCTATCGGTTTCGCCGCCAGCGTCATGGCCGCGGAAACTGCGGGTTGGGACGGTGACATCGGGATTACCGACATGGTGGTAGTCGCAGTGCTGCTATCACCGGCGGGGGTGATGTATGCACTGTGCTGCTACAAAATCGTGACGCTGATTAATTTACGCGATTCAGTAGACGAGCTTGCGTCCTAGAGGGAAAACGCGGGGAGGAGAGCGTAAAGAGTCTACGCCATGGCGATATCGCTACCTACGTTGTGGAGTCAGGTTTGAGTCTGGCCATGAAACGCTCGTCATCGCCTATGGCGGCTCATAAAATACGTACTCAAAACTAAGTACGGAATGTGTAGAGTGGAGGGAATCTGTGGGCCGAAACAAGACACACTGTAGATACTCAAATGTTCCTACACTCCATTCGCAAGGTCGCTGGGACTCAAGACTCGAGCGACGACGACTCGGGATGCCAAGTGTGGCTCGTCAGAAGACGCCATGGCCGGAGACAGCGGAAGTGCCATGTTGCAAACACGAGCCAAGCCATGGCTTCGTTGGACGAGTGTGCAGATGCAAGACGAACGAAGCAGAATGCAAGTCGCGGTCTTGGGTTGGGACAAGGCTTGCTCCTCGTTCAAGCTGCCATTGCAGGGACAATGCTTGGCGCGTTGATGGCGGGTGGGTGGAACTTGGAGGGAGAAAGAGACCAGAATCAGATGCTAGGGGAAGAAAGGGGATCGGGGGAAGGGATCGGAGCCGGAGAAATGCTGGGAGGAGAGGGGGAGAATTGCGAGAGCCTAGGGATTGCAAATGTTTGGGAAGATTGTAGAAGGTTGGAAACGATTGGGAAGGTTTGGACAGTGTTGGTAGGATTGAAGAAATTATGGGCGGACAAATGAGGGGAGGGGTTTAGTTGGGGGAACGAGAAAAAGGGTGTGGAGCGGGGTGACGAGCAGCGGAGAGGCGGCGGTTGATGGGGGAAAGTGGGGCGGGGAAGGACAAAGTGATGCGCGCAGGGCAGATGCTTCCCGCTGCGGGAGAAGTGGATTGTAAGGGGAAGCATGGGGACGCAAACGCGTGAAATATATCTGTAAGGACAAGACAGGCTGCCCATGCCAACAAATTCGTGACAGGGTATAAACAAAAAGGACCCCAGAGGGGCCAAGCAGCCAATTGGAGCAACGCGTTGCGTCAGACTTCGTTAGGGCGGGTCCAACTTTGCACATGTACACTAAATTTTCAGCTCAGTTACCACATTTCGGCATGTAACAGAAATACAAACGTTCCAGAATCCATTTGACGCGAGACTGTACATATATGATGACATTTCGAAAACGTGCCCGGGGACGTGCAGAACACGTCCGAAGGTTCACGTCAAACTCGTTTCGCGTCAAACACGCCAGAAGGTAACACCTTGTTTCGCTAATTTGTTTTCGCCAATGAATCCCCCCTCTGTCACAGGTAAAACAACCTCGCTTTATTGGGTAACCCCTCATTCCAGGTACTGTACCCCGCAGCGTTACTGTACCTTGTCAAAAGTCCGAATTGTGCACTCGGAACTGGACAGGAAATGTTTGGAGTTCGCACTGGGGTACAGTCAAGTTTGACTAGTGCATTGACGTAAAAATAACGAAAAAAACGGGAGTGTGCAAAGTTGGACCCGCCCTTAGTGGATGCTCCCAATCGAGCAGCCAGAAGGAAAATGGACAAAGAGAAGCCAAGCAGGGGCAACTGTGGAGCGGAGTTGATGATCATCATCATCACCCTTGAAGTCCTCGGTGGTGTTTGGTTCGCCCTCAACTCAAGCGCAACAGCAGCCACGCGGAAGAGGTTGGAGACCAGAGGAGGGGGGGAAGTTCTGTAGCTCCATGTTTCGTTCGGGCAAGCAAATAATAGTTTCGGCCATGCAGTTCAAGTCGAGGTTGGTGCTATAGTCCATACATCAACTCTATAATCCATGAAATAACTGGTTTTGGCGGCTGAATGTTCCCTGTTAGGGAGAAGTTGACCCGCCGACAGTCGACCGACCAAAACAGAGCTCGCTTGTATCGAAACAAAGGGAGTCGTTTCAACGATTCTTCAGGAACAACGAATTTAACAAAGCATATGCATTAGCATGAAATACATTAAAACCTTCTATAATTGGCATCACTACAGTACAATCCAAATTGCTACCCTCAAACTTGCTTGAGGGAAAAATATCAGCTAGTCTAGGTATGCAGCCTTCAGATTCTCAGGTACATCATAATGGATTCCATTCAATGGCACGTCCAAATCGGACTTATACATGCTCGCCACAAGATCCACTGCTTTCTGGAATAAATCAACACACACACACACACACACACACACACACACACACACACACACACACACACACAGGAACACGATAATCAACTCATATTATGCTCATGCGGCAAAAAAATAAGGACAAAGCTGTGCAAGGGGCAGGGAGAACACACAAACAACACTTCAAAATACCTTGTTATACAGTTTAACGGTTTTGTCCGAAGCATCAGTCGGGTGCACTCCCCGGCCTATGCTGAACGCATCATTTGCGTCCTTGCCGAACCGGCTTAAGACCTCTGCCACGTCATGCTCGTATTCCTCAAACCGGCCCACATAGTCGTACTTGATCCGATGCAACTCACACACGTCAGCCTGCGTTGGGGCAAAAGAGGAGGAGTGGCAGAAGGGGTATAATATGGTATTGCTGCCAGTCATGCCCATAGTCAAGCAAGTCAACCAAAATCAATCCATTCCTGCCTCGGTCATGATATGCAGGTTCATGACACACCGCTGGCTTCTCTCCATGTGCCTTATGTATACTCCACAAAGTCAGGAAAGTCAAACAGGTCAAACAGTCTCAACTACACTCAACCCAGCCCCTACCTCGGGCATGATATGCGCGTCCATGATACTCCGCCTGCTCTTCTCCATGTGCCACGTCAGCTCCACAAAGTCAGGAAAGTCAAACAAGTCAGAACCATTGTTGCGGTCCAGCAGCTGGCGGTACGGAGCAATGTTGTGGAAGAAGCGGGAGTTCCAGTACTCGCGGTCGTGGGGAGGACCTCCCCCCACGTGCTTGTTCAGGTACGCCGATGGTAACCGCGTGTACGGGTTACGCACGAACGTGAACTTGAAGTAGTCGGGGCGGGTCAGAAACCGGATCACCTAATGGGGGGAGGAGGAGGGGGAGCAGGAGGGAGGGGGAAGGACGCAAGGGGGCACGGACACAGGAGTTCGAAAGGGGTCAGGAAAGTCAAGGCAGTCAAGCAAGTCAAGCAGGTGCGACCCGTTGTTGCGGTCCAGCAGCTGGCGATACGGAGCAATGTTGTGGAAGAAGCGGGAGTTCCAGTACTCGCGGTCGTGAGGAGGACCTCCCCCCACGTGCTTGTTCAGGTACGCCGATGGTAACCGCGTGTACGGGTTACGCACGAACGCGAACTTGAAATAGTCGGGGTGGGTCAGGAACCGGATCACATGAAGAGGGAGGGATGCGGAGGGTAAAAGGGACAGGTTTCAAGCGGTTTGAAGGGACACCACACCTGTCACCTCCATACACTCACCTCCCACTCCCATTCACATACGTCTCTCTCCTCCATGTAAAATGCCAGCAGCTTCAGCCCCGAGTGCTTTGGGTCGTGGGCTATCCACGCATCGGTGGCGTTGGGGCGGTGCTGCTGCTGCTGCTGCTGCTGCTGCTGCATACCTTTCACACCAAACCTTTCACGAAACAAAACCACACCTCTCAACCACTCTACATACCTCTCGCTCCTGCATGTCGATTGCCAGCAGCTTCAGCCCCGAGTGCTTTGGGTCGTGGGCTATCCACGCGTCTGTAGCGTTGGGGCGGTGCTGCTGCTGCTGCTGCTTCTGCCGCTCACACGCACGCACACACGCACTCACACCCATTCACATACCTCTCTCTCCTGCATGTCCAGTGCCAGCAGCTTCAGCCCCGAGTGCTTTGGGTCGTGGGCTATCCACGCATCGGTGGCGTTGGGGCGGTGCTGCTGCTGCTGCTGCTGCATACCTTTCACACCAAACCTTTCACGAAACAAAACCACACCTCTCAACCACTCTACATACCTCTCGCTCCTGCATGTCGATTGCCAGCAGCTTCAGCCCCGAGTGCTTTGGGTCGTGGGCTATCCACGCGTCTGTAGCGTTGGGGCGGTGCTGCTGCTGCGCAGCGACTGCTGCATACCTTTGGCACCACACCTAACCCATTCACATACCTCTCTCTCCTGCTTGTCAAATGCCAGCAGCTTCAGCCCCGAATGCTTTGGGTCGTGGGCGATCCACGCGTCTGCAGCGTTGGGGCGGTGCTGCTGCTGCCGGAACCACACCTTCCACCCCGTGCACCCCGCCTTGGGTACGAAGCAGTACACCGTCTTGAGTTGCTCTGTAACGGGGGCAACACACAGGAGGGAAAGGTTACTGGGAAGGAATGAGTGGGAGGGCGTTGGAGCGGTGCTGCTACTGGCAGAACTTTGGCTCTCATCCCACGCACCCCACCTTGGGCACAAAGCAGTATGCTATCTTGAGATTCTCCCAAAGCCCACCCAAGCCCGACCCATCACCCCCTCCCATAAACTCCCCCTCAACCCACCATCTACGAGGAACTGCTGCAGGAAGCGGCGGTTGAAAAAGGGCGTGGGGGCCTGCGAGTCACACACGCTCGGATGCACCTTGAAAGGGGCCACCCAACTCGCACTCACACCGCCGCCCCCCTCCTCCGCTGCCGCTGCTCCCCCCTCCGCCGCTCCCCCCTCCGCCGCTCCCCCCTCCGCCGCTCCCTCCGCCGCTCCCTCTGCCGCTCCTCCGCTTCCCCTCTCCTCGGGCTGTTGAGACGTCTCAAAACTAGGCCTCCTCCCCCTTTCCAACCCCATGATTTGCCGCGCGGTGCCGGCGGTGGCCTGGGCTCGGAGGAAGCGGGCCTCGAGAGACGCGCGGGTGTGGATGAGCGCCGCTGCTGCCGACACCACCCACGCCTCCGCCACCTGCAGCTGCGCGCAGCTCCACTCGCCGCTCTCCACTCGCCCCTTGAGCATCCCCATCACCATCTCCGCTT